GTGGCAGAGAAAAACACCGTGGGTAAAGTACCCGGACTTTGGACTATTGCTGCACGATGTTCTGCAGAAGTGATCAAAGCTTAACCGTCCAGACGAGTCTAACTGCGCTTTAATGATTGCCAATTGCACTTTGATCATTGAAGCTTGATTATTATTATGTTGTTATTATTATGTTCATCCTTGCACCTCTTCTGAGCGGCGCGATTTTTGAAGAAGGAATCAAAGCCGCAATCTGCCAGTCAACAAGTCTGGTAAGACTAATTTTTCAATACTACCAGACAGGAGCTGTAGTTTGACAGGAGCTGTCCTCAGTAGTCTCAACAATCATACTGTCTTAGAAAGAAAACTCTTAGTAAAAAGAAACATCATGAAGCCCCAGATAGTTAGCATTGCTTCGTAGTCTTCATATCACTTTACCCATTTTTTCTTGTGAATTCCCATTGGTTTTCGTGAAATTTGGTGGAAATCTCAAATCTGCAGAAAGCATTTACACTGCAAATGCTCTTTTCTGGAAAGAGGAGCTTGTAATTTTTACGAGCCTAGCCGATTGCCCCACAAATCTCTAAGATAACCCACCAGTTTACAGAACCTAAGATACGTAAATAACCCGCCGTCAACTGTGGTCTCGCTGATGGAACGAAAATGCTATTTCGCGTAAAAAACATTTTTGAAAGAGACTTTTGTCCACACAGTTGTTGAATTTTGGTGGAAATCTAGTTTTTGTTTGTTTGGCGCTTTTGGGGAACATAATTGGGGTGAGAATGGATATAGTAGATTTTCTCGAAAATCATGGTACAGGCAGGCATAACTAGCCTCAAGCAGATGAAGAAAAGACAAAAATGGACCGTAGAAAAACGAAGTCGGCGATAAATTATTGGTATCGAGTGACTTAATTGAGATCTCGTAATACCATTTTACATAGAATGTTCATAAAATCTTCTAAGATCATGTCATAAATGAAAAATTACGAACACTATATGAAAAATTATGTGGCTAACGAAATTAGCACTTACTTGACTGTTTTTGATTAATTTCGATTTTCTGAAGTACACGAACTGTAAATTTGAATCTTGTACCTTTTTATAAATATTGCAAAAAATCCCTGCTTCATGTAACCTGTATAAATCAAGATTGTGTCACGCTACATTCGCATATCCAGGAAGGAATTTCGCATGCTTCTAGAACTCTGCACATTTCTGCCGCCAAGCGCTAATCTGTTCCGATTCAAACGGACTAACTGTTATTTACTTCAGGCGCAACAAGGAAATGAAGCGCTGACCATCATGTGACCCTACTGCAAAGGCCTTAGATACAAAATTTGCTGTGCAAAACAAAGATGAATTGTTAACTTTAACAAAAACCAGCTAGGTACGAGAAAGAAAAACTATTTTATCAAGGTAATGGGTATCCTAGACGATTCATAAAAAAACTTTTCTCTTGTAACAAACTGCAAGATTTTAATTCAAATCATCCTCGAATAACTGAAACAGATCCATTTTGTTATCTTTTGTGAGTATGGTCAATACTGTTCCAGTAATTCTTGTTATCAATGTACAGAAAAAAAACAATCAAATGAGCCAAAAAGTGTTTGAAAAGAACTAAGATAGGCACGAACAAAAGAATCTAATGCTATGAACTGTCATGAAGAAACTGATTTTTTCATGACGATTCTATAATATTACTGGGAAAAAATCTTTATCAAGCGTTTTGATGTGCCATAATCCTCTTCAGTTATCTCCGCTAACATGAGAGTGATCCATTTTCGCGCGCGTGATTATCTCACTCCACTTCATCAGAATAAGAGTACCGGAAGCCTTCACATCCTCTTTCTAGATAGGGCCTCACACTTTGCGTGACTTGCTAATGACAATGGAAGAAATTCAGTAGCACATAGCCCATCAGAATGATGCAATAGTCCCTTTTACATGCAAATCGCAAAAAAAATCACGTAGAATAATTATGCGTGGAAAAATGTGTTATCCCATTCTGTTTCAGAACATTGATTTTTTTTGGAAGTTTCGAATTACAAAGTCAGATTTCAAGATGTAAAGAAAGAAGGATTTGTAGCTCCAAAAAACCTCAAACTAGTCGAATTCTCATGACTAAATTATAGTTCGGGGGAGAAAATTTTTTGCAAAAATCATTTCGCTACCTCTCACTTGGATGAGGGCCCATCCCCATTTTGCACCGACAAACTTTCTCTAAAAAGTGAAAAACCAACAGCTGCAAAATTTTTACGCGAAACTTGTTTGATTTTTGCAGCACCAATAAGCAAAATTGAAAGAGTGTTGTTTTTAAGAAGTTTCACAATAAAGCAGACACACTCAACGTGCATGATTTGATCAAATTAGACCATATATCCTCAAAAACCTCCATCTAAGCCGACATAGGGTCTGCTAAATGACATTCTATATCTATCTACTAACGCTGATTTGCAGCAAAATCGAGCAGAGAACATTTTCGAGCGCACTTTTAGCATTACGTACGCTAGTCCGTCAAGCAGATGTCATTACGAAGCATGTGCATTTCACGTGCACGGCCAATTCTCCAGCAGCTGCTTGTAATGCAATACCACTGCAGATGTACGGGGTTGTTAAGTACGACAAGTACTCTATGTGTCAGTGCAATAGAAAGTTTGATGTTTAGAGAATAGCAACCTATTTTTATAATTTTCCAAAATTAACATCGTGGTTGCTGTGTAAATAATCAAGGATAAACACAACTATTGTGAGTTTTGTGCAAAATAAGTTATAAAAATTATTCCAGATAAAACCGTATGGTCAGTGAGTTTGGAATGAAAGAGAGTGGTAAACTGCTAGAAAAAATGAAAGCCATTTATATACCTTGCGTCAGTGGCGTACCCAGGATTTTGGCTCGAGGGGTGCGCAACAAAAAAAAATTTTCAATGAAGGTGCGTGGCGTTAGCCACGCACTCCGAAAGATTTTTTGGGATGTTTCCCAAAATTTTTCCGGACCCTGAAGCGGAAATTTTAGAAAAAGGGAGCGTGGCGTCAGCCACGCCCCCAAAAAAATTTTTTTTACAAGGCTAATTTGAATTTTTAAAAAATTTCAAAAATTATTTCAATTTTACATATAAATACAAGTCCTCTGCACTTTTTATAACACATTTAAGTAACTTTCAAAAATTTCGGGACCCCCTTGAAATATTGCAATCAGGTGTGTTTTATATTTATCTTCTTGGAGTATTTATCAAATAACGCTCTCATTGACGAGTTGAGAAAATATTGCGGCTATTTTTGTCCTATTTGCAGCTTCAATTTTTGGCTCCAGTGAACGCTCATAACTCCTCGTCTACAAAGGTCCCGCAGATAAAGAAGGCAGATTTGAAATCAGCGATTTATGCCCTTCAATATGGTATACATCCCATCTCAAAAGGTCACGTGTACTAAACTTGCTTCTGTGAAGCAGCAAAATTTTTTCCATTGGTCTGCCTCACTCAGCGTTTTCGCAATCTAGAGAAAGGTAGGCGCTTTAGGCTTCAGGTAAGCTTCAAGGTTCATTATTTTTTGTTTGGAAAGGAGGGAAATTTCCTTTCAATATAAGTGAAATACTTCTAACCAGGGCTCGGCACGAGCTGGCACCAGGGAAATTTCAAAACGAAATCGCGCTTGATTTTGAAATTTTCGTACGAAGTTCCCTTTAATCTGTTTTGAAGACCGGTCATTGATTTTAGATTATGTAAAAGTATGTAGTAGGGTTTCATGCATGCTGATTTCATGAAACAGCTTTTCACAGCTTTATGAGCTTTTTAAGAGGTTGAATCACATCTTGAGAAGCAAAAAAAAAAGCCCATTTTTCGACTGCGAAGCAGACCGAGTAATTTTCAAATGGCTATAAAGCTGAAAAAAAACATTATGGGATTGTTTCTTCTCTGTAAGTAAACTTTTACGGTTTAGATACCCCAGCTGGCTCGGTGCCAGCTAATTCATAAAAAAAAGTTCAGCATAACTTTCATTCACATAAGTTTTCATAGATTTTTGGGCCATAATAGTCCCCAACGCGCAGCACACACCGAATTTGATGTCATACTATTGCGTTTTGGCTGAAAACGCCTTTTTTGTTTGATGGACAGCATGCCGGTGGCATGCCGGCGGCATTCTGGCGGCACTTCTCCGCTCCGGAGGCGGAAAAACAATATTCCCTTTTCCGCCCTAAAAACGATATCCAGCTTGACCCGGTGCCAGCTGTGCCGAGCCCTGCTTCTAACGTATGAAATTGTATGAAGTCTTTAATCCTAAGTCGCACGAGCTCTGAATGGTTCAAAATGCAATGAGACATGAGTCTCGTCTGCTCCTAATCAGTCTCAGGCAGCCATGCCTCCAGACATACAGTACTGCTCGGCCAATTTTAGCTCAACTTTACGCACAGATCACTATTGCAGCTATATCAAAGCAATTTGCAGAGATCACTACTTACGCATCCATGTGAGTTCCACATGGCTGCCTCGGTCAACAGAGTCTAATTACGCGAGGACTTTATGACGTGCAGCTTTGATGTGAGAAGATTCGCGAAGAAAAGACCCCAATCCTCAAAGGCAACGCAGAAAAAAAGATATGAAAAATTCATAAAACACCTCTAGAAAGTTTGATGCATGCAGATTTTATGAATTAGTATTTTGAAAAATACAAAGAAAACATTACGTGTATTCAAATCATTTTTCTTATTTTCAAGTTAATCATCTGCTGTGATTAAGGGGCACGTCAGCAAGGCTAATTTGTAATTCGTTTCGTGTTCACATGCGATGCATTTCATATAATAATATAACAATAATCAGGTGTTCGTCGCCATGGAAATGGGCTGAATAGGGATAATCATGTAGATGTCTAGGGGTCTTTATCGCTACAGAAAAGAGACAAGATGTTGAAGAAGAACGGAACGTGCAAGATATTCACGAGCCTTCAAAGCAGATTTCAGAGAGTAAATTTCGGAAACAGGAAGTGACAAATGAGAAAATAAAAAAACTATGAAGGGTAACTTACTCTTTTGACGAAGACTGCCACTTGTCCAAAAAGTTCGTTTTGACATTGACTGTAGGCCTTTTAAATCCGATTTGACCAGTTGCCGCATGATTACCCGCCTGGGCGGGATCATATGGAGCAGCGGTGGAGCCCACTGCGACCATACTACCATGCGTGGCTATCTGTAAGCAGTTTGGTTAAACAAAAAGCATCGCTAAATCATTTAAGTAATCAACCATCCGATTAATAATAACGGAATTGATTCTAGTATATTAATAACGACGGAATTGATTCTAGTGAATTCTTGCAAAAAAATTATGGTTATGATGTAGGTAAGGACATTCCGGATGTAAGATGCATTTTTAGGCGAAATGACGGCCAACTAGTTACCTATTCAAATATTTCCCTCCCGATCACAATTTTTTTGGAAATTTTCTTCAGTTCAAACATCGTGGAAATCTATGAAGTCTGTATCAACAATGAGCTCCCTTTCCGATCAGCTAAAACGCAAGGATAGAGCCCTATGCCGCGTATGCGGGTCTACCGCTTGAGCATTCAAATTTGCCGCATTAATCGATCGCTGCGCAGCACCCAAGCGCTGCGGATGCGTGGTTGCTGCGAAAACGTGAGCATTTGATTGAAACAAACTGTAACTCGCCACTGGTTGAAAAATCATCGATTCTTCATACCAGTGTTTAGTTCAATCTCATAAACTCGGAATGCCACCCTCGACTACATTCATAAAGAAGGAAACTGACTGGCAAGACGGATAGAGGCTTGAATATATACCATTGACTAACCTAATCTCAAACTTATCACCAGTTCTATCAAAGTACTTGTAGGCTTGCTTATGGCACTCATACTCCATAGAACGCACGCGTGATGTCGATCTTATGATTCAAGTATACTAGAGAACTCCTATTCATGCGAGTTTAACAGTTTTCGGATTTCACTTCATGCGTTGTCCTTATATTCGCCGTTCACATGAAAGCTGATTGAAGTGCCACTCCTTGTCCAAAAAGGTCGCCCTTAGGTACAACTGCTCTTAGAGAGTTGCGCTAAATCTCTTCCATAATATATGCACTAAGGCCAGGAAGTCTGAGAACGCAGCGAAAGTTTTTGCGCTCCATCTTTCGGGAGCTTATTTGCAACTTAACATGTGATTTGCACAATACACGCTTCAGTTATGAGCTTGAGTTCGTCAATACTTAGAAGATTTTCCACTGAATTCTTCCTTTCCTAAAGCCTTGAATATACCTCACGGAATTTCAGTCGCCCGAGTTCAGTAAATCTGCCCGATGTTTTGGAATCCAAACTGGCAGACCACAAATGCATAGTTTATACAACTTTCATAGATTGATAAAATATCCTGCCGTCTCCACATTCAAAAGAACATGAGTTAGAACTGGAGTATGCCATATCGCGTCGCGACTTAAATCGCCTTAAGTTTGACAAAGGCCCCCAAAAATGGCACAAGAAATTGCAAGCAATTCATTTCGCAGCCGTTTGTTCCATTAAAACAATGTTTCTTGTTCGCTAGATACAGTCAAGTAGATTTTTTCTCAACTTAGTGTGCTTGCGATCTGGGCCCGGCGGGGATGGCGGTTTCACAAGCTGGATATCGTTTTTGGCCCGAAAAAGCAAAGGGGAAGTCGTATTTTGGGGTCCGAGGCCCGATAAACAATGCACATATCATTCTTTATTCATCATTCCTTGTTGATGCTACTGTCCTATGAACTAAGATTCCAGCAATGTGAAGATTCTGTGCTCCGATCGCTAGCCTGCCCGCAGGCGGGAATTCAAATCGCAATTCTTGTAAGAGGAAAACAACAAAATAGGCTCGTTTTTAATGCACAAGTAACGATATGGCACCAAATTTGCTGTGTAGTTGGAGGACCATGAGCACAAAAAAAGTAGAAAAATTATGAGAAACTTATGTGAATTTAAAAAATGGTAAGTGTTTTTCGAAATTAGGTGGCTCCCGCGCCACCTGGGAGGCACCTGGGGTGGCTCCCTGCTTCCCTTCACATAATTTCCCGGATTTCTTTACATAAATGTGGACTAGGTCGAGAGTATTACTATATGTTCAAATCCCCTTCCAAAACCACCAAGGCACCGCTTCGATACAGCCCCAAATAGGGTTCACAGCGTTATGATCGGCCTCGGAAAGCGCGCTCCAATCGCAATCGGTTATTGTAAATTGTAAAGTTTCGCAGCTGACTAATAAATGAGTAGTATCTTAGATATATAAACGTCAAAGTTTGTGCAAATCTTGACCCTATGTTTTTTTTATAGATTCCTTTGCGGATGAACCCATTGAGCTGGAACCTTGATGACCCGGGCTGGACCAGGAAAGCCAGGTAGTACTATTATAATAAGCGCTGAGGCCGCCCATCTTATTATTTGTGTATGTATATCTGTTTGTCAGGGACTTACGGGGGTCAAAAACAGGGTCAAAGGGGAAGTCGTAAGAAATTTTGGCTTCAAAGGGGATATCGTTTTCAAAATTCTGAAATGCCACCTCCTGCCGGGCCCTGCTTGCGATATCGAGATGGTGCGGTAAAATTTGCGCGTGAACAAGTAGCCACGCCAGTAATGCCAATATTTTGCGCGCGCAAATGGCTGGCGTCACAGGCGTAGCTATTTCTTTACGCGCAAATTTTACTACATTTCACCTTCAGTGCAAGCACACTATATTAAGTGGAAAATCTACTCAACTGTATATACCTTCGTGGCTGTTTGCTCATGCGTTAATACCGCGCCATCTCGGCTCACTAATGGCTTCACTATGCGGTCTAACAGTAAAAATCGCAGAAGTAAATCCACTACAATAATGATTTACTATGAAACTTCTGTGATAGACCGACACCGCTAATCAACATTCCTTCTCTCTCAGCTCTCGCATTCACTTCCTTTTTCAATTAATCACATGGCTGACGAACTAATATCAGTAATTGTTAACAGAATTATTGCCGCTTCGGTAAGCTGATGCACGCTGGATTGTGGAAATCATCGGTCACTGGCAATGCTGGGTTCAGAAAATGGTCGGACATTCCAAGCATACACACTCTAATTAACAGAATTTCTAATGAAGGCACAACAATCAGAAAACAGGTAACCGCGTGTAGGGAATTGCGGGCGGGAGTGATTGATATCGGCATGAAAAGTGCGCAAATTATAAGCGAGAATTACTTGTTCTCTCATCAATCAAAGTAGTGCGCAGCCCAGCAAACACAAATGTCAAACAGAGGAACATGGCAAACTTGCGCATAAAAAGCGGATTGCATCTTTAATGAGTTTCGCAAGTTAGCATCAGAAAGTGGCCTTAGGTTCAAAGAAACTCCAGAAGCTAATATTCACTACAAATGAAATGAAAGCATTTTTGCATAATCAAAAGAAAGGTTCAATGCACTTAAGAACTTTGGGCTGGCTTTGGTCTAGGAAATGTATATCATTCAGGGGAGTGAGTGTTCAACAAAATTTTTGGATACAAGAGAGAAAAGACAGTCGCAAATATTTACAGTAATCGTGGCACACACCATAAATTTCAAATAAAAAACAACGTGAAATCTATATTTATAACAAACGCATAGAAGTAGATAAATACAAACAGATAAAATGACAAAGCGCAATGAAAGAAGTATGCAAAGAGTCATAAAAAAGAAGCAAGGCATAATCATACCCAATTCACTAGAATTATATTGAAAGTCTGAACCAAATTAAAACATTATGAACATATGTTGCAAAATATGAATAGCTTGATGGATATATCACATCATTAATCACAATTTTTGCACAAGATTCAGTACGACATACAATCTATGATCTGAAGCACCTTTAGCATCTTTTTCTAATATGTGTATTTTGGTCGTAGTAGAGGGAAAATCACGTTGAGATGGAGGCGTATTCAATATTTAAATTATTCAATAACCGATGCAACTGGAAGCTAAAGTTTGCACTAGAAGAAAACACAAGTTTTAACTACGTAAATGAAAACGAATATAGATTATGACGACTGATAATAAATATGCTCATGCTTTATGAGCTACAACCAGATCTCAGCAAATCACTTTATCAATACTCGAGTACATGTAGCTGTTCATGGCGGAGTTTAGCTACACAACAGAGCTGATGTGGAATTCTGATGAAAACCACCAAGTCGGGATATGAATCCCATGTACAGGAAAATAAAAACGATTACGAAACAATCGAAAAGCTAGTAATGCATACGTTCCGTTTACAGTGCTTCACTGTGTCCCTTGGTAGCTTCGTGTAGATCCTCGATGAGACCAATTCTGGCACTTCTTGCTTCTTCCTTAGCGATAGTCCGGTAATCTGCTTGCATATCTCTAAGGCTGATTGTCTGTTCTCGTTCTCGCCATTTTCGTTTGTTGTACTTTGGATTGACCATTCTGCAAATATGTTACATTTAAGCTCATATGCACGTACATCCCCGCTGGGGAGGGGAGGGAATTTGAGAGGAGATGCGTCATGTCTCGGTACTCTAGGAATCTTTCTTCTTCCTTCTCTATCGCTTATGAAAGTTCTCATACCCTAATACCTGCGCATAATTGATGCCAGCCGGCATAGTTGATTAGACTTTCACTATTTTGTGTGATCCCCTAGGGATCCCCAGCGGATGTCCAGGGGATCACTTCTCAATTTCAATGTCATTTATCTTCCTGAAAACTCAATGAAAACGCTGTAAAATTGTACTGCGGATATACTACGACACTGCTAAAGATGTTTATAGTAGAAATAAGTGAAATCGCAGGATATCGAAATCTTCGGTAATCCCTAGCTCGCGAATCCAGGGATCATCAGAAAACTCCCGATCTTCAGTTTCCATTTCTTCTGTCAAAATATGCTTAGCAGTGCCATAGTATATCTCATTACAATTTTACAGCTTTTCAATTGACTTCTCAGGAATATAAATCACTTCGAATATGAGAGGTGATCCCCTGGGGATCACACAAAATTGCAAAAAACCAATTTTGTATGGAAGTAACCTGACATCCATTATGCGCAGGTATAAGCGTATGAGAATCTTCATAAGAAAGATAGAAAAGGAAGAGGAAAGATACGTAGAGTAGCGAGATATGACCTCTCAGACCTCTCCCTCCCCAGCGGGATGTACGCGCATACGGGCCTTAGTGGTTAGACGCTCAAGACTATAAATAGTCTTGGATCGAACGGAGCTGATATGACGGAAAGAGGATGAAGCACAGCGATTGGAGATCAATAGCATGTGAGTATTTTCTCTTTCTCCGCAGTTCTCAAACCTCGTGAGTTCCGCACATCACATGGCGCACAACAAACAGAGGTCGCTTCTCAGTAATTCAGTGCAAAGGATAAGTACAGAAAAAGTTGAGCATAAACCTCACCTGACCACATCACAAACATTGAGCAATCTCATACCGAGACTGCCAAATACTAAAATTCATACAAAAAGAAAAGAAACGCACTTGAGTGTCTCCTCAAATTCCTGGCGACTAAGTTCATCCATATCCATACCACTGTCGTCAATAAAGTCATCAAGATCGCTATCATAGTCATCATCTTCTTCCTCTTCATATTCATCATAATCATATGCTCTACTGTAACTCTGATGCCGATAACGGTCTCTTTCTCGCTCACGTCTGATTCTTTCTCGTTCCCTTTCTCGTCGTCGTTCCATTTCACGATCTCTTTCTCTGTCACGATCTCGATAATCACGGTGGTTGCTAAAGAAATGTGTGACAATTATGGAATAGAAGGTGAATGAAGGCAAACTCACTATTCAGGTCGTCCACGATCACGATCTCTGTAACGATCCCTCTCCCGTTCCCGCTCTCTACCCTTCTCCAAAGGACGAGCAACTTTGTTGCGATCACGGTCTTTCTCGACACTCATTGATTTCCGTTTATCCAAGTCTTTGGAAGAGAAATGCGAACTCGACGAAATTTTTGAGGAAGTGGATGAGACTTTAGAAGAAGTAGGCCGGTCTAAATTCACCAATAACTACCAACAATCTTAGAGTGGAATGTCTTGATACCAGCAGATGAGGTTGGAGGGGGTGCTCCAGCTTGTTTGGCCATTTCCATAGCCTGCTTGTAGCGTATATCGCCAGGAAGATACCTTAAAGTTTGCTGATACATTCAAATAACGTTATCTTATACGAAATTATTGCCACCATTCAAATCAAGAACTACCGTAGAGTTACAATAGACTTCCTAACGCGACTTTGCTAAAAGTAGTCCTTTGCAAATTCTTAGTTTAGTGAGGGCATTGCTAATGAAAGCGCAAATTGCATAGCTTCACAAACAAGGAACTCTGAGAGAAACTATGGCATCTGATTTTATTCAGAAAAGTATACCCCGATAACACCCCATACACAGTCCGGCAAGAAAACTGCATGATCTAAATGCCGATGAATTTTGGAAGTTTTGACTTGTTCCTCCGCCCTATTCAGTACAGCACAGAATGAGCTTTATTGCGAAGAGGAAACTTACAAAAATAACAAAGTTATTTAGTGTCATTTCAGCTAGACTTTGACCACCAATCGACACCAAGAGAAAATAAGTTTTGATTTACGTTTCTTCCTATCCACTGAACCGAAAGTAGACAAAAACTTACCTTCGTCCAGGAACAGCCGGCGGAATCATCGGAGGTGGAGTAGGTCCTTTTTTAAAGCGACCTCTGGTGCTTAAAAATGGTAGCAATGAGTTGAGCAAGTAACAAAGGTCCATAACATCCTAGAAGCAGAAGAGAGGAAGAAAATGAGCTCACTCCTTATTATCCTTCTTTTTCTCTTCCTCTTTCTCGACCGGCAACTTCGCAGACGGTTTCGATGACGTTGCAGGTGCCGAATGTGGAACTGCAGAAGACTGTGGACGACTTTCTGGTCTTTTGGAGCTCAACGATGGAGTAGGTTTCGAGTTAGATGATGGTATCGGTTTCGAGATGGATGATGACGAGGGTTTCAAGCTGGATGACGACTTTGCAGGTCTGCATCAATGTCAGCATATCTTTTGAATGCAATCATAAGAACTGCAAGCATACCCAGTCGAACTCCTATTTTTCTCCATAAGACGTGCATATTCTTCCCTGTCACGGTCAGACTTCGGCTTTGCTGTACTGGATGAACTTAGACTTCGAGAGCTACTGCTAAGACAAATCAAAATTTATAAAAAAACAACAAAAAAAGATACAATCTAATAATCCATGTCAAGGGCAAATAACATATTATTCACCTCTGATCATTAGCAGGCCTCTTCGCTGCGGTGCGCTCCAAATCAATGCTGGTTTTCTTTCCCTCAGCAATGTCTTGTGCGGCTTTCATGAGTGTGCTGCACGTTTGTGAATGAGGCGAAAAGTAAGAAACAAAGCCCTAACTCACTTGAAATCAACCACCGGAGCAGGCCTGGGTTTCTTTACTTCTGGTACTGGCTGCGGCTTCGGTTTGGAACTTTCGCGAGGAGGAGAAAAGCTGTCTCGACTAAACGACGAATAATGGAGACTGATACAATGAGATAACAAACGCTGTTTACCAAACCACAATAAAATGTTTTGAATCACTGTACTGAAGAACAAAACACTCACTTTGCTTGGTGACGACTGGACAATCCCATGAGGCTATTCGCCTTGCTTGTAGCAATACGATGCGGTTCCCTATTACTTGCAGAACCAGAAGCTCTCATCTGTAATGAGAAAGGAGCCAGCTCCATCTAGTAAGGGCACAAACATAAACCAAAAGGACCCAGAAAGAAGTAGAGAAATGTTTACCACGCTAGAAAAACCGACTTTTTCATCGATTTTCCTCTTCTGTGCGATAGCTTTGTACACTCCATTCCTGTACTTATCTGCGAGTTGTTCACATTCCTCCTATAGATCACTCTTTAGAAAATGATGGTAACAATAACTGCTTGCCTCTTCACGCCATTGTTGTTTTTGTAGGCGCTCCACGTGTTCATGATCGTGACCATATTTTATCTGCAGATCCAATGCGGACATCCCAAAATTTTTGGCAATTCTCTTCGTGGCCTAAGAAAGCAGTTCTTCACGAACATTTACGAGAACGGTTTGGTGAAAATCAAACTAGGAAAATCACAACAGTAAGGCTAGGGAAAAGTCCCAAACTTCTTTTGACCGTACATTCCAAGAAGCAGCCTGGGTCATCAAGAAAGCAAAAAAAGGCAGAAACATAAAAGCAAGAAAACAGTCAGAACACAAAAGATATACCGAGTAAAGTAGAACATTTTGAGAAGTAGTGAAATACGGCTCAGAAGAGTAAAGTGGAAAAGAGCTGTAACAAACCTTTCCTCCATGTGCTTGTAGACGTAACTGAATGAGCTTTTCTTTCTCTGCTTGTTTCTTCTTCAACAGCTGACGTTCTTCCTCAGCTTTTTTCTCCATGTACGCCAAAATCTTGGCTTTGTCCTCCTCAGACTTCTCTTTACTCTTTTTTGGTATAGTGAACTACAAACTTGCGATTATATGAACGCGTACACTTGATAATTAAATCAAACAAAGATGTCACTGCTTAGATAAAAGCTGACAATAATCATAAAAAGCCTTTGTAACGTTGAAGCGATGACGAAAAAAGAAGATGAACATAATCCAACCTTTTTTTCCTCTTGGACGGGTTTCGGGGGCATTGTTGCCTTTTTTCGTTTCAGCATTTCCATCTTTTCTCTCTTCTCTGCTTCAATCCGTTTCAGCTCAGCACGCCGCTCATGATCAAGGTCCGTTTTTACTTCATTTAGTTTTTGCGAGTTGATTTTGTTGTTCTTATTTGCCGTATCCAATAACGACATGAAGTCCATTATTGAATACGGCAGCAGTGTGAGGATTTCTAAAAGTGTGGGTTTTCCAGTTTGTCTCCACTAAGCCAAGAGAAATATCAAGAACTGTGTAACGACTACAACATTCAAGTATGCAAATTGAGACAGATTTTATATCTGTGAGCCAGCAGTTGACAACGATAATGTCAGGATCAAGATAGTTCGTGTCCAGCAATAGCTAATCGATCGCAAACACAGAATCAAGCTGACCAACGGAATGATGGAACGTGCTCTGACGAAGCCGCCGCGTTTCTCGTCCGTGATGGAACGCGCGCGGTTACGCGACAAAATACTGACATCTAGAATCCATCCGACGATGAGATACATGCATGTATGCTTCGAAACGTGAGTGAATCCTTTTTCGATTTTGAGATTTGTGCTTACTCGGGCCTATTCGCTATGCTGAAGACGAAACTCTACACTAGAGAGCCGGAAACGGCGAAAACGGGCCCAAAAGCATGAGGGAACTCAGCATGTGAGCCGGTTCCTCCCCATTGTGAATTCACGCTTCCAGCTTCCGTAGCGATCTTCTCGGTTCCGATTTCAAATCACACGTTTGCATTTGGTCGGTGGCGATGTCAGGGCGCCTAGCGAAATCGAAAAGATCGCTCCTGAAGCTTGAAGCGTGAACCCAAGTGGGGAAGATCCCGCTCACCTGCTGCTTCCCTCCTGCGTTAGAGCTCTCTTTCGCCCTTTTCGTGCTCTCCAGTGTTAATTTTCAAATCCAGCACAGCGAATAGGTCCGAATAAGGACAAAATCTCAAAATCAACTTTTTGCCCGGACATTGCCCTTAAAGGCACCGTCCACCCAAATTAGGGTTGGTGAGATTATGATACCTAGCAGATGCGGGGCCACCAACTGTATGATTGCCCAACTCGCGCTGCCTGAAGTTGCTTCCGAACCGAGAAAATTGCTTCGGAAATCGCTTCGGGCCGCGTACGCGACGCTGGCTCCTCCCCTTTCGGAGTGGGCGTGACGTTCGTTTCGCCCATCCGTGCGCGTCCAACCAATCACCGTACCGAAGAAATCGCTCTGCGGGTTCTGAAAACGGGGGTTTTCGTGGTTTTCGCGGATTTTCATTTTGATATTCGGAATCAGGGGTATGAGAAGGCCCTGGAACGGCAAAAACATGGAGGTCGAAATTTTGGAATTCAAACTCGAATTCAATGTTTTTGTCGCTTCAGGCCTTCTGAACCCTGATTCCGAATATGGAGTCGAAAATCCGCGAAACCCCCAAAAATCCCTGTTTCGAGAACCCTCTGCAACAAGCGCAGGCGAGATAAAGCATGCAGTTGGGCGGGGCGACCTGGTCGCCCCGCCTACTTTGCTACTTCCGGAACGGATTTCTCGCTCCAGAAGCAGTCTTTTGCGGCGAAGCTTGGGGGTTTGCCTAGTGTGGGGGCCCACACTAGTATGCCATCATAATCTCGCCAACCTCCATTTTGGGTGTACGGTGCCTTTGAGAGCAGTGTATCGGAAAAACTGATCAACTTGAGATTTTTATGCGCTAAGTTGCTTACCCCCGAATATGAAAACAGAGAAATCCCGGTCCCAGTTGCCTCCCTGTCGAGAAAACTGCCCCCATACCCGGGCGCGCAAGCCATTCTTACATGCGCTCGGACGAGCTCGCGATTTCCCTCCCATCATTGCAGCGGCATGCGCCGTAATGTTATGACGTCCAGAGTCCTGCCACGACTCTGCGTCTCAACATTGGTGGGAGCTGTTCCACTCGTCCGCAAATTGAAGAAGAGCTCTGCAAGAAGCGTGCTCACGGCATTTTGGGCTCTCTGAGGTGGATTCTCTGCATCAGTGCCTCGGATAACCCCAGGTAAGCGAGAATTCTCCAAAGTGGAAATTTGCCGAACCATCACCTTTGATGTCGGTTGTGCAGGGAGTTGGGCAGGCAATAAAGAAGACATCCAATAAAGTGTACTAAGATCCGGCTTACATTTTGGATTTGCATTTTATTCGGTGTGTAATGGTGCGGATAAATTTAGCATAGAGCTCTGCGTGATCGCGACATTAGATGGGTTTGCGGCCATTACCCTGTTTTCAGGTGTATAAGCCGCACCCTTTTCGCTCTAAAGGCGAACACGCCAAAAGACCGACTGTCATCATGGAGCGCGTTAAGTGAGAGCAGTATGCGATAAGGCGACCGCTTCGCGCGACATATGCGCGGCGGCACGCCTAGGTCTGCTCGCGTTTAGAGCAAAAAAGGTGCGGCTTATACACCTGAAAATAGGGTACTAGCTCGTTCAGCTTTCTTAATTTTCTTTCTCGTTTAAACGCTTGCGTTTAGATACTAGCTTCCTGTCTGAAACGTTTGAAAAGTACGGAATTGTTTAACTGGTTTGAGGGTCTGTGGCATCCTGCGTATGCAGTGGCCGCAAACTCACCGACTCCGCAATTACGCAGAGCTCTATACCAAAAGTCTAGGCTCTCGCCAGAGTGCCTGTGTCGGTGGTTCCTTGGGCCTTTATGGCCTGAGGCGAAATAGCGCCTCTTGATTTGTGCTATGTAGAACACGTAAGCATTTAAGCTTTATTGAGTCAGACGACGTGCACGTGTTAGTGCAGTGGTAGAATGCTAACATAAATAGGCGTGGCACAGTTACTCGACAATGTCTGGGCAATAAAGATACACATATCACAGCAGGTCATGCTCAAGCATGACCTTTACGGTACTCTGGCAACAGAAGATAGGCTACAAAGAAAGGTGCCGATATTATCGGCACACTCCGGCCGGCCATGAGAACAAGCAATGTAGAAGGATGGATACAAATCAGAAATCTAGTCTACTATCAAACTGCTTCCATTTATCTGGATCCAGTAGCGGGGTTTGGTGAGTAGAACGAGTCACGTCTGCAGCGTGGATGTTCAGAATTCTTGACCAGAGGCGATAGCGAAAGGCTGTAGATAGTGGAAGAGCAGCTTTGAGACCAGCTGTCGCAAACTCTACTCGTGGCACCGTAGGCGCCATGACCTGCCCCTGCAAAAGAGTATCAGTAGTGGGAAAGGACTTGTACTCCACAGAGCATCGATCGTTGTCAGTTCTCGTTCTCTGTCCCAATTCAAAGGAGTCTTCTTTGGATATCATTTCCTGGATTTCATCCTTCTTTCCTTCCAACGCGAGAATTTGTGTTTCTTCGGGACTCTGCTGCTGTTTGTATTGGACGGAGTGCGAGTCACCGTTAGATGAGTTCGCCTTTTGTATATCTTCTCTTAGCTGCCTCATACGCCTATTTGAATCTTCCATGCAACTCATGAGCTTTGGGCCCGAAAATTTCTTCAAGCTCCCTGTTTTCGCTAATTCTAACATATCATCTGCCATGCGGTCTTGCAAAAGATATAGAAACCTTCTAGCGTCAAAAATGGTTTCAAAAAATCTTATCTCTTCCTCCAACGCGTCCCATTCCTCCGCCATTAATTTCTTCACAGCTTCGGATTCAACCTCCTCACATCTTTCCATCAATATGTCGTAATCCATTTGTAGAGATTCGATGGCATCTTCAATTTCCATTTTGCACCCCGCTAGTGATTCCAGATGTTGAGCGCATACATCTTGCCGCTTTTGACTGCCATCTGGAATAGCAATTTTCTCACCGTGGCATGCGTACTTCTCTAGTTGTTCCGCGAGCTCCTTGGTAGAGACTGTTAGTTGTTGTTTGAGAAAGCGCGAGATCTTCATCGTTCCTCGAGTGCTGCTGTCGGAAGCGAAGCACTTAATCGGTCTTATTTGGCCGATGCACCATATGTGTCGGTGGTTCCTTGGGCCTTTATGGCCTGAGGCGAAATAGCGCCTCTTGATTTGTGCTATGTAGAACACGTAAGCATTTAAGCTTTATTGAGTCAGACGACGTGCACGTGTTAGTGCAGTGGTAGAATGCTAACATAAATAGGCGTGGCACAGTTACTCGACAATGTCTGGGCAATAAAGATACACATATCACAGCAGGTCATGCTCAAGCATGACCTTTACGGTACTCTGGCAACAGAAGATAGGCTACAAAGAAAGGTGCCGATATTATCGGCACAGTGCCGGCGCAACGTCAGCGCTGCACCGGCGCCGAGCCAACGCCGAGTTAGCGCCGCGCCGACCCAGCGCTGCCACGGTCCCGACACGATTTCCGATTAATCCAGGGTGCGTTCACCTGGCCAAGAACGCCAGGACTTCATGCTTTTCATGCCTTTCTCTCCTTATCGCGCTCTCTGTCGTCCTTTTTACCTCTCTAATGTTTCTTTAATGTTGCTTTTTTTCAATAAACGCTCTCTTGTCAGTGCTTTTTCCCGAACTCAAGTGGCGCAAGACGCTTTTGCGCGGCTGTCCCAGGTGTACAGAAGGGAACTTCTCTCCATGCAAGGAAGGGGACGGGATTATAGATTGATTTCTCGCATTTCTAGCTAAGCTATTTTCAGTCTTGCTCGTCTACATAATCCCGTCAATCGCCACCCACGTAGTGACACATTAACAATCTCGATCAATGATTATGAAATCAAACCGCAGGCGAAACGTCGGCGCGATTATTCGCATCCTAGATGTCTAGTATGCTTTCGGTTTGATGATCAGTTTTCGTCATCTGACGTTGTTGACAGAAAGTTTGGCGAAAGCACTCGTTCTCAAGTAAGCTAACCCGTTGGTATCAACCCGTCGCCGGCTGCCGGCCACGTAGTGGCATCTAATTATCTAACATTGTGAAGAAGCAAAATGAGGCATAACAAAGGAAAAGGTCATCAATCTAACCATCTGAAGATAGAAGGTAGAAATCGACTCATCAGCAGAAGGGAGACAAAATTTTGCCCGTTTTTCACATAACACAAGTTTCGGAGAGTTTATTCTATGAAAAAAAACATCGAACATGCTGATGAGTTGATTAATAAAGAAGAGTACAAACACAGTGAACCAGTAGAAAGGAAGATCCCACCTGTTCGCTGCAGAAATTGCGCACAAGCCTTTCGTTCACTTTGCCTTTTAAAAAAACCGGTACACAAACACTACCTGAAACAAAAGCAATATCAAGAAGGAAGAGAAAATGGAGAAAAGCGACAAGGAAGAATGAGATATGCACATCATCCGTACGTACGTTCAATGCTACGGCTGAGCCCTTATTGAAAAGTTAGCCGGGATGTCAATACCACAGTTATGGCCGGAGCATAGGTGCGATAGTGTGAGGATTTGCTCACCCACTCTTCACCCCTGAACCGGGACCAAGGTGACCCCCCTTGACCAAAAGACGAGAAAAAAATCAAAAGTGAGGTAAGCTTAAGCAAAGGGGATATAATTACGTGAGTGGAGGAGTCTGTTGTACAAAGTGCTTGGTGAAAGGTGTGGGTAGTGATTTCGGGATATTTTCGAGTTGTTAACATGAAAAATTCATAACTTCTATAAACATATAAATATAAACATAAACATAAACGTATATAAACATCTTGTACCCCTTGATGGTCACCATTGCAACCGCCTCGTCTTCCGCTGTCAGAAAGTATATGACATGTCTGAGATCCTTTCAAATACTCAGATAATCGCCGGGGGCAGGCGGTCCGCAAACTCGCGTTTTTCTGCAGGCGGTCAGCAGAATTTTGGGGCGTGGCCAAACCTTCAGCGGGCGGTACTTCCGCGTTCTGCCAGCGGGCAGCAATACAGAATTTTCTGCGAGCGCTCGTCAAATAATATCTTCCAGCGGGCGCTGGCCAAACTTTTAGCAAGCGCTCGGTCTCTTTTTAGGTATTTTCGGGCGTACGTCGAGCACAGGTAAGACTCTGTGTGGTAGAGGTGTCAGTTGGTTTAATTACTCAAGTTTGAGGTACTTTCTCTCAGCGGAAAGTACCTGGGGGTTGCGCGGTCCTCCACAAAGGACCGTGCGGCCCTCAAAAATTTTGCATATTCTCGCGGAAAGTCCGCGAGAATGCGGCCACTGCGCCGCAGCTAATCCATAAAGAAACCGTGATTGTTCTTCAAGCATTCGTCTTTAATTTTGCCAACTTTCTTCCAAATTTCTGCAAGCGGGCCGCAAAAAATCAACGAACTATTTTTCCGGTGCCCGCCTGCCCATAAATCGCATCGCCGCTTGCCCCCGGCGATTATCTGAGTAAGTGCCTGGGTGAAGGGTGTGCTTAGTGATTTCTGGATATTTTCGAGTTTTTAACATGAAAAATTCATAACTTTTGTAGATGAACATCTTGTACGCTGGTATGGTCACCGTTGAAACCGTCTCGTCCTCAGCTTTCAGAAAATATATACTTTGCCTGGGGTCCATTAGGAAAAGTGCTGGGTGAAGGGTTGGTGAGACTCTTATAATGGGAGTGCTCAAGCAGAAGTTTTTTTTTACCATACTCCCATTGTAAAAGTCTCACCCACCCTTCACCCAGCACTTTTTCTAATGAACCCCAGACAAAGTGTGTATTTTCTGAAAGCTGAGGGCGAGACGGTTTTAACGGTGACTATGTCTGCGTGCAAGACTTTCGTCTACAAAGGTTAATTTTTTATGCAAAAACTTGAAAATTTCTAGAAATCACTAAGCACACCTTTCACCCAGGCACTTTTTTGAACGGATCTCAGACATGCCATATACTTTCTGAAAGCAGAGGACGAGGCGGTTCTGACAATGATTATCTACTTGTACAAGTTGTTTTACTAAATTTATGAATTTTTTTATGTTGAAAACTCGTAAATATCCAGAAATCACTACCCACACCCTTCCACCAGGTACCTTTTTCATCAGAATCCAAGCAAACTATATATTCTCTAAAAGCGGAGGACAAGATGGTTTTGAAAACAATTTCCTTGCTGACGTTGCTGTTTATCTACAGAAATTGAGAATTTTTCTTTTAGGAAGTTCGCAAATGCTTAAAGATTGTCTAGCTCTTTCCGAAACAAATGTTCTCGCATGCACATCTTCTATGGTTTTCTCAAAAACAGGCAAGGTGATGTAAAAAAAGGAAAAGGAGAAGTGTATAAAAATAGAAGGTGATGGTCAGAGACATATTTGTGTGCTAATCCAGCAGCACATCGGTTCACATTTCGGAAAAAAGACAACCATTGATGGCAAGGAGTTGAAAATTATAAACTTTGACTAGGAAATAATAACGAGAGAACTCCATGGCTCCCCCCCCCCCCCTTCCCTCCCCATCGAGATTTCATAATTTCTCTACCAAGTGAAACACCCTTCACCCAGAGGGGCTGTGACCGCTGTGACCTTCTTCACCCTGGACGGGTCATTCTCACCTTATCGCACCTATGGGCCGGAGGACATCTCAAGGTGTTGCGGAAGATTGTTCCCGCTGGCTATGTCAGGATTCAACGGCAGTTGCGGCCAGAACATTGCGCACAACAGATGGCACCTACACGGGAAGAACGCCAGGAAATGAAATTAGATTCCCGTATAGCACCGCTTTTGGGAGGCCTCCCATACCTTATACGACCACCTTTTGTATAAATATAACTACAGGCTAACACTATAGGCTCCCAGGGCACCGCTTCTGGACCTTTAGTCGCCTCGTTCCGCCATTCTCCTAGTATATCGAGCAAGTCTGGCTAGTATACGCCAAACCACCACGCCAGGTGCTGCACCCCAATCAACATTCCCGAAATGGGACAATGAAGAGCAGCGAAACCGGCCGAGAGGAAACGACACCGTTCTTATACTACTTCTGTTGTAGTTTATGGCAATTATTAAAACGCGGATATTTGCTGATTACTGTCTGAGAAGTATATGAAACAGTGATATCTGCCGGGACTAATGTTGTCTGGCAGTTGTTGCCATTGAGATTTGCTGGAACTATTGCATGGTAATTCCGTAATACCCAGGAATTTGTGGAACTTCCATTGAGGAACGATGTTATATGAGACTGTGAGGACGGGCCATCTACCCTCGACATCAACCCATGTGTCCTTTCTCACCATGACGTGGATTACGTGGATTCGTGAGGCGCCACCTCGCTACAGGCTTGCCCCACGTTGCTTGCGCATCTTTGCATGGTATGGCAACAAGAAGGTGGGCAGCCCGCGCCTTGTTGTTTTGGCACCACATCACGCCAAACGATGCTCCCGCAACGTGGCGCAAGCCTGAAGCGAGGTGGCGCCCCAACATATCACGTAATTCACATCATGTTGAAGGAAGATATATGGTTGATATCGAGGAACTAAGTGAACTAAGTGATTTAGCTAAGTAGTCGCCACCCAAACCATCACAAAAGTCGGATGACTCCTGTTGGTGGTACTTCAGATCAAGAAATTCGCTTCGCGGTGAAGTTTCTCTACGGGTGAAGCACCGTTGGGTGGATAAACGTTAAAGCAGTCAACGGCACAGTCAGTTTAGCTTCTCGTCCTGAAGAGTGTCTTTTGCAGCATGCAAAGAATCAGTCTGACCTGCTTCGAAGACGGTCCAATTGACGTAGCTCTTCAGGACTAAATCAGGTTTATTTGAGGAAATCGTACAGCCGTTGTCAATGCGTATTGGTCTTTCCTGCCGTATGATTCCAGCCTCAACATTACTTGGATAGGTGGGGCGCCGCATCGCTTCGAGCTTGCCCCTCGGTAGGAAAGACCAATACGTATCGAAAGACTGTATGCGCTCTAAGATTTTTAGATAATTTTGCGGTTTATGGACGTGTTCGCTGGAGCGGCCTACATTTCTAGAATGGTTCTGCTGTTCGGGTGTTGCTCGTCTTCAGAAACGAGGTAGGGTAAACCAGTTCGTGGGTGAAAATCCGCGCAATCGTTTTAATCCCTGTTTGCAATATTCATATCAGCTCTTGCTGCAATGAGAAGTTATTTCCTCCAGGGATGAAACAAACAAAATTTTAGATAGCTTTTACTAACAGTATTTTAGCAAATACTTGTAATCAACGGATGAGAACATGGAGAAGTGAGATATAATGACATTGAAGATTCTTGAAGATCTTTCCCTGATCCTGTACATCAATGTGTGTAGACTTCAGATTTGGTTTCTTCGAGTTCAACAATTGACGGAAACTTCCGTCAAATTGACGGATTCCAATGGTGTGAAACTAACATGGCACAGAACTTGACAGAGCATGCTGAGTGTTTGTTATCAATCACTTCTACAGGGCTCCTAAATTGCAGAGTCGTTTGCAGCAGCGGTCGCGCGACCGCGTCGCGCCCGGGCATCAATGGCGCCGCCTCGATCGATGGCGCCGGCACCGGCAAAATGCACGGGCGCGACGCGGTCGCGCGACCGCTGGTGCAAACGACTTTGCAATTTAAGAGCCCTGTACATGAAGAGGAAGTTCGTACTCGAGATTGATTTTTGGAAGAGATCACGCCCCAGGTTCTATTTTACCAACAGAAAATCGTTTGTTTGAATAGTTTTACTTAAAATTTGTCAGGTCGGTTCAGAGCCTGAGAAATTGTGTTGACGGATACTTAGGCTTGAGATATACTTGACGATGGGTCGCTATAGCTGACGATAAGACGCTGCCAGCAGCAACGCCTTTTATGCGTATCGATTGACGCCATGCAACGCTGCTGCTTCTGGCTGCTGCAGCGAACGCGATACAGACCCGCTATAGCTGGCGATGCTGCGCTGCTCTGCGCTGCTGCTTGCTGCTCGTAGCTGCTCCTCGCTGCTACGCGATATGAAGCTCACTTTTGGTGAGCTTCTCTCAGCTGCTTCACGCTGCTAGCGCTGATTATGCTCGGATTTGCCCGTTTTTAACATCCTTTTGAACTTCTGAAGGATTTTTAGAGCGCTTGTTGCGTTACTGAACTGTGGCAAATTTGCAAGACCAAAACGCAAATGCTTCGATAGGAAAATTAACAGAGAATTGACAAAGTGAACGAACAAATAAATATGAAAACCGCACAAAACTTTTGCGAAGAATCAAATTGGATTAACAAAAAATTAGAAAATTTACGATTTAGTGGGATGTTACCAGTACACCTCAATACATTAATGGCAGCTATGACCTAGGTCGTTCGGTTTTTGCCTCAAGCACAAATCAAGATTCTATTGCGACACCGCTTAAATAATGGCAATGATTATTTTCTCAGTACTAGTGCAACATTTGGTTTGCAACTGTATGCTTCTTAAAAAGATTTGTTGATGAGAACAGGATGATTTTTTTGGAACATGTAATCATATTCTTCAGTTTTTGATAGTTCTCAAAACTTACTTTCCTAATGGGCTAAGCTAAGCGTAGTAATGGGTAAAGTTACACGTTCTTGCACCCAAAGCGTACCCAGCGCAGCAGCCACGAGCAGCTAAAGGCAGCGCAGACATCAGCGATTCGCCAACACCCGCTATACCTCTATCGTCAGGTATATCTCAAGCCTTAGCCAGAGCCATTACCCTTGCTTAAAGGCAGTGTCCGGGCAGAAACTCGACTTCTAAAAAATCAACTTATCTGGGGTTATCCGCAACGCTGAATCCGAAAATCCACATCAGAAGGCGCGAAAACGGCGAGAACATGCATTTTCCAAGTCCTCACATTTCGAAATTTGGGGATCCCCGCCAGGCTAAGACGCAGAGGTTGCAAAGAGCGCACGGTTTTTAACTGTGGCGGCATACGTACTCTGCCGTCTGGCAGGAATTCAAACAGCTCGGAGGACCCCGCCCCAAGGCGTAAGTTTCCCCAATTTGCAATCGTTTTTCTTGCTTTAGGTCGAACGTTTTATGCTCGCAGTTGCGCGATGTTGTGTCTCAGGGGGGCTACTTTCACATAGCAGAGAAATCTCAGAACCCCCATTTTGCCCGGACACTGCCTTTAACCGCTCCATGAGCGATAGCTGATTGGCATCCCAAGTTACAATGCGTTTAACGGGGGCAGCACCGCGTAGTGCAGTCACACACCTGTGCGCGAGCGCTACCGTTTGCAGCGTGCAAGCACCATACCGCGCAAAGCCGCGTAGTCCTTGTTCTAGCTATTCTTCTTGTTTCTTTCTTAGCTTATTCTCTGTCCTGTCCAAATTTCTGAGCCTACCCTGTCTGAAACTCTACTTTAGTACTTTCTGAGATCTCTCAAAGTATTACCGGGCGAAATTAAGACAAAATGAAAGTTTGAGGTCTTTCAAAAGTTCTGAGTATGACTGGTCTCCTTCTCACAGCTAAAGGTGAATATCAAGGTGTAATTGTATGTCGTCTAGGTTCAGAGAACAGTTCGAGTGAACAGCACGGTGGCGCTGTCCACTCAAATCTAAACGATAACGTTTATATGTCGGTTGAAACACAAGTCGATATAATGAATCATGACATCCGGAATCCGCCCGAGAAAGCCTGGATGAAATGAAAGATGTCACGAGGAAAAACGCTCAAAGATTTGATACCTCTTCCCTGATAAAAACAAGGTCCGCGATGCTGTGCGCAGCATGGTCCGAGTACGATAGCGCTCGCGCGTATGATCGGCTCCCAGATTCGTGTGGAGGTGTATTGCAGACTTTGCCTGATAACACATGTAAACTTACTAAACCTCCACGTCATAGCATTGCTTTTCGTAATCTCTCGCTAGCAAAAACCGCCACGCGGTGAGTTGGCAAGACTCCACCTCCACACGAATCTGGGAGCCGATGATAGATGTGTGACTACACTATGCGGCGCTGCCTTGTTAGACGCATTGTACAATATGCAGCCTCATAAATTTACTAGTGTTCTGTATTTTCCTGCACATTACCCTGTATGAGTTATTTCTGCTCATGTTTTTGAATTACGAGCATTTCTTTTTCGTTCTTCGAATGTTTGACAATGAGGCGACTGGCCCTATACTAACATTACTTTACAGTTTGAATGGTTTTAACCTTGAGTATAAAGATAAAGATATGGATGAGGATAAGTGTGATTTCAAGCACCTATGTTGCTTTTATAAGGTTTTCGTCACGTGGATTACTTCGCGTAAATCGTCATACGCTGACCAAGTTCTCCAATTGAGTTTCTTCCATATTCAATCTGGCAATGAATACTAATCCGTTATATGTGGCGCAACGTTGCCTTCAAAATGCAAACTCCAATGATCTGCAAGACTATTCCGATGGGTCATCAGCTCGTCATTATTGTAAGGGCAGTAACTTCTCACCTACACAGACAACGCGAATCAAAACAGGATTAAGATTTAATACAGGAGCTCTGAACCGATGCGACAGTGTTCTCAGGTCAACAATGAATCCAAAACCGAGAAGTCCGCTGATTTTATTTTAAAGAAGAAAACAAAGCAAGACAGCATATGCCGTGACATTGCTTCGAGGATTGACATTGAAAACAATGAAAAATATGACTTATAAAAACTATGCCACCTCCCATTTATACAACATATACAATAGATACAACAAAGAATGGTTATTTCGGTCAGTGTTCTCTGAGGCAGTTCAGTGATAAGGCGAGATCACTCATTATTTTAGAGCGCGTTTATACCGCATGTAGTCCTAAATAGCTCTGACATCAACAACCAACGTTGTAAACGAAAGGTGTTGACATACGTCATAGGAGATCATCACTTTACTGGACTGGAAACGAGTTACTTGGAGGGACAGTCGAAAGCCTTCATCAATGCGTCCTCTGTAGCCGCCTTTTTCAATGAGATTATTGATTGTTTCCAAATGGTCCCAGCCTAAAACGAAAAGCATCTGAAGTGCCTCAAAAACACTTTGGAGGGTACCTTGTTCATAAGCGACTTCCGGCAGATACACAGCATCTCTGCGTACGCTACCGTCCATAAAATGAATGCGGATTCCGTGAATACCAATTGTCCAATCCATGTAGTCATGAGCAGATTCGAACTTGATTAGTAAAGAAACCTAGACGTGGATCAAGAAATAATGAGTCATTTATGAGAACAGATTTCAGAACAGAAAACGTGTGAGGATAGAGTAGTTAACTTACACCACAGTATAGATGAGGGATTTCCTCCTTTCGCACCGGATCAAAACGCGAATCATGAAATGCACTAGTAATAGCATAGTCTCTGAGACCCGTGTGTAAGCTGGAAGGAATCGTGTACAAGATGAAAATTTCTAGAAGAGGAGAGAAATCTCTGATGATAATGATGATGGAACGAGCAAAAAAAAGAAAGAACAAAGGTGATCACGACTCACTGTAATTGTGAAAATGTTCCTATGCAGCCGCGAAGTCGCCGATGGCTGCCTTTCTTCCAGGTTACGAAAAGAGGGCTGAAAAAGCAGGTTCGATACAGATTACTACACTTTGATACTGACAAAGGAAGGATACCAACATTAGTCGGCGATTGAAGATGGGATGTATATCATTAGACGCGTCTCTGAACACTAATTCCAAATCTGCTTTCCTTTTTTGCGGAATACGTTTTCGAAAGAAGTTATGAGCGTTTGAATGTCCAAATTTGCCAAGCATTGATTGGCTTAAAATCAACAAAAGCTCTAAAACAATACCTATGCGATTTCCACCGTCTTTGTTCCTTCCTTGCAAACAATATACTCGATACAAAACTAATTTTCCACTTTTCCATTTTTTGTATAGCTTTTCGCCAGTTTTAGGCCACCTAAACCCTGGAAATTTTGAACATACAAACGCTCATAACTTCCTTCAAAAATTTGTTCCGCAAAAAAGGAAAGCAGGTTTGGAATCAGCGTTTGAAGGGCGTCTAGTGATATACATCTCATCTTCAATCGCCGACTAATGTTGGTATCCTTCCCTTGTGAGTATTTCGGGCCCCCACAGCAACAAGCCTTACATTCAGTTATTACTTTCCTGATAGTCGCTATATGCATGTGCATAGCTATCCGGAAAGTACACATCTGTCACAAACAGCTCACCCAGCTATCTGCCATCAGGACATAACGTTTATAGTTGAGGATATCAACCACTCAGAATTTGTGCGCTTTCGGAATGATCTAGTATATGCTATTAAGGACGGATATACACAATCTCTATCACCAGATAGAAGTCCGACTGTGAATGCAGTGTCCGAGCAAAAAGTCGATCTTGAGATTTTGTGCTTAACCGGACCTTCGCTATGCTGAATCCGAAAACTCACACTGAAGAGCGCGAAAACGGCAAGAAAAGGGCTCTAAAGCAGGAGGGATATCAGCAGAAGGCGGGTCTCCCCACGATGATTTCACGCTCCCTGCTTTCGGATCTTCCCAATTCCGCTAGCCTCCCTGATATCGCCACCGGCCAAATGTGAGCGCTGACTTGAAATCGGGACCGGCAATCGCTCCGGAAGGGAGCGTGAATCCACAGTGGGAAAGACCCCGCCCACCTGATGATTTTCATCACCATTAGAGCCCTTTTTCGAGGATTTCGCGATTCCCAGTGTGAATTTTCGGATTCAGCATAGCAAATGGGCCCGGATAAGCACAAAATCTCAAAATCGACTTCTTGTCCGGACACTGCCTTCAACATGATAACATTCTTGACACTTTAGTTAGCTGACAACCATGAGCAAACCAGGAAGACAGTTTCAGTCAGTTATGTACGCGATGAATTAGCTGTGTTTGGCTGCAACTGACAGAAAGTTGTTTTTTAGCACATATAGAGAAAGGCCTAATGAACCATTTGTAAATAATAACATACCGCTACACAAATCCCTCCTATTGGTTCCCCCCTCCCCCCTTACACATAAAGAACTGGATGTAAAATATGTGCGAATATGCGAATATGCGCTCCATGCGCGAAAACCTTGCAAATCTAGCCAATCTGATGCTACGCCATGGAGGAACTTTCAACGCCGCTTCACAAATATTTCCAAAGTATATCGGTGCATAAGCCTGCCATTTTCTCATCAAGTTTTACACCATCTAAAAACACGCTCCCGCAACAAACGAGAAAAAAACAGAGAAAAGTTTAATAAACTTACAATTTATCATTAGGAATGCTGGGCGGCACTGGCGGATCAGAATGATTATTGACGGCGGCTGCTATCACATCAAAGCAGAACACTGCCATGTCCACTGAAGCAGCGCCGCCCGTCATGATTATCTGAAAGAGACGAATTCACTGATCTTAATGATGAAAGAAGAACACTAAATAGCAATATATGTTATGATTATCAGCGGCCATAAAACGCGCATGAACCTCATGCGCACAAAAAAGCAATGGTGGATTTGACGAAAAAAACGTACTGTTCATAAAACGCAGGCCCTATCAGTGATATGAAGCTCAAGAGGGGGAGGGGGCAACCCTTCAAAGTACATGTTCGTTCATCATTTATTTAAGAGGTAGGTATGAGTTGGCGTGTAACTTGCAGGTGGGAATGCGAACAAGTGTGATGGAAGCTTGCACAGTTAGAAAAAGTATCTGCGCTCAAGACTTGCTGGTTTTGCCGAGGTGGAAAATTCCAGAAAGCCAGCTTCAAGCTTTTTTATGCTTTTCAATACTGTGATGTGTATGGAGTGTAATTGACATTCAGAATTCAATTCGAAGAAGTAGTATATGCACTATAGGAGTAAAATCATAATCAAAGTATTGAAAGCGAACGAAAAAGGCTGATTAGATATGTTAATACCAAATTTTTCCGACAACCATCAATACTATACTATGACTAATCACCACTCAATTCTACAAAGCAGAAGTTACAAAGCGCTTGCTTTCATTGCACACACACCTACATATAACTGCAGCACCGCCGGACACTAGCTGCACTTCTGAGCGACTGGGCAAACGAGCGAAGTGTTCGCTATCCTGCGGTCATATTACTTTTAGACTCAAAAGCCTTAATAGTCAGTAGTGCAGATTTTTGATGATGTGAAGTCTTTTATGATGACAATGTGGCAAACCTACTTTTACGCTACATTTTACGCACAGACTTGCTACGATGAAAATAAACCTACTCTCAAAAAGCAAGCAGGGCTCTAATTCACAGCATATTCAATGACGTGTTGCCCCATGCATTCGACAGTTTTTTTTCTGGCCGTTAAATCAATATGATTAGTCAATCTTCAAAAAGCCATAGTTTGCTTTTAATGCAGCCATGTAATCGTAATCGTCAATATGGCTCTTCTTTGAGCCAAATGCTACTCTGCTGCTGCAAATGGCTCCAGAGCAACAAACGCTTAAAGGCAGCGTCCAGGCAGATCTGGACCTATGGGGCTTTTACGTGTAAAGTACTTTTGGGGCTCTAACTAAGGCACTGCCCAAGCGGCAGCTCAGGTAGTGCTCTAGTGGCTGAGATAATCCCCTCGAAACTGGCCCCCGCGAACGTATACGCATGGATTCATGGCAGTTTCGCGCCAGGATCCACGCTTTGCGCCATGAATGCATGCGAAACACGGTCGCGGGGTCCAGTTTCGAGGGGAATATCTCAGCCGTTACAGCACTACATGAGCTGCCGCTTGGGCAGTGCCTTAGTTAGGGCCCCAAAAGTACTTTCCACGTAAAAGCTCCATGGGTCCAGATCTGCCTGGACGCTGCCTTTAACTTAGCATAACGTTTGTCGCAGACTAAGATTTCTGCTATTTTAACTCAGAATAGGGGGTGGGGGAACGAAAGCCGCCAGGTCCAGTCGCCTTTCGCGGCCAGCTGGTCCTTTCGCAGCGTTGTTGCATATCGTTCCAGGACCAGCAGTCCGCGGAGGCGGCTGGACCTGGCGGCTTTCGTTCCCCCACCCCAGAATAGGCCTACTGCAGGAACAATGAAAGCGAATCAATGCGGAACTAATCACCAAATGCAAATAATAAATTCGCTTCATCATGATAATAATCGCAGTTGCTGCGCCGACAAATATGCGGTAAACGTGAACAAATCAATTGCGCACTGATGAGAAAATACTAGCAATTTTCAATCTGATACAAGTTTATATTCCCAAATTACGATAAATAGCAAACAACTTTTGAGTAGACCTTCCCTAATGACCCTAAATCATCAGGTTATTCCGAATCCGGTTGGTGTAATCTGTTTTATTGGAGGGTAAATTTTGTTCAATTTCAGAACAGTTTCCTTACATTACAACAGTGAGCTATATTCAAACAACAGAACTGATATTTTCCTAACAATCCTTGAAAACTGTTTTTCTTTCGTCGAAAACCAAATGAATTGCAGTTTTCACTTCAAGAAAAAATAAAATTAACGAAAAATAGATTGAATAAAGACATTAAAAGATAAAGATCCAAATTTTATCCATCTCCACTGATCTTGCTTTCTGAAATAAGCTCGCTCATCACTATGTACCGCATCCGGATGCAACTGGATGCATTAACCAGGCGGTATAAAAAAAATTCACGGATAGCATAGCAAAAGTTGTGGAAACGTTTAGTACTTAGAAGACTATGTACATTCATCCTTGAAGGCACCCTTCACCCAGATAGACCTCCATGTTTTGGTCGTTCCGGGGCATTCTCATGCCTCTGATTCCAAATATGAAGTCCAGAATCCGCGAAAACCCCGACCATCCCCGTTCCGGAAAACGCGAAGGTCGGTTGTCCGAAATGGTGATTGGATGGGCGGGCACTACTGAAGGGGGCGGTGCCGACTGGGGATCTTTGTGCCTCCTCGCTATTCCCATATTTTGAGCCGCGATATGGGCACTTGTTTGATAGGAGGTCCCACTATCGTGAGTGTCAAAAGCTCAAGGCCCCCAACTTAGGGTGGACGGTGCCCTTCAATACATACGATAACCAGTAAAAAGGTGTAATCTGATGCTGAGGTGAAAAAGTTTTCTCATGATAGAAACAAAAAGATGTAATCTGATGCCAAGAAAGTTTTATCATGGCGAATAAGAGCAAACGGATGAAATGCGGCGAAATGAATTTTCCTTCTCTAATTACTAGTTAACTCCGTTATCTAGACAGCCAGCTGGGCAAGCCTTGTGCGTCAATTGGCCTATACAGCAAATCGCCTGCACTTAGGTGCACTTAAGATAGAGAAAACTCAGAAGCATACGCAAAGAACGAACAAAAATCCGCAAAAACTGTTGAGTATTCTATAACGCAATCTTGCAGCACACAAACTATGAAGTAAGAAGAACAATTTCTGAGACGATCCGTACAACATCCCGAACAATTTACAAATTCAACGAGTTGAGAGCAGTTGGCTCGTTTCTAAGGCGTTTTCCAGACAGCCGAGCGACAGCGAAGTGTGTGAGCATTGCACGAGTGTGACCTAACAGGCCAACACAGAACGATCACGTGGTCTGCTCTGACGAAAACACTGCGGTTCGGTAAACAACAGCAATGCATTTTAAGGAGGAAGGAACATAACAACTTTACTTATATACATTAATCGAGTTTTGGTTGATGAACTGAAACACTTCTACCCTTGTGAAAACGAAAAATTAATAAATCATACCATCATGTTCGTTGAAACCTCCCTGCTGTTTAAACAAAAAGATACCGACGACGACATAGAACTTTGATTTGATGGGAAAGATAAGAGAATGAGAAGAAGTCACAGGATTGAACCAGTTGTTGTGCACTTTTGTTCGTTATCTGTTCATACGTTTTATCGGTAAAATTGCTTTAATGTAAAGCTCAAGAATACTTCAGCTAAAACAGGTGAGATTGAAATAGTCAAAACTGAGCAGAAGAAAGCAGAAAAGAGCTTAAGCTAGAGAAATGATGCACTTCAACTGCATCTGCTGCCTTAGAACAAAAAAGCCTGATCCTTAAGCAGAACGTTAAGTGTCTATGTCAGACGGAAAAAGCTAATTTTTAATACTACATGAAGCACATCATGAATTATAATTGAAAATGGACTTGAATTCAAATTCTGATGCTCATCGACCATTATCGAATAGCATAAGCAACTTTATAATATTTCAAAATCTGAATAACTCGTTGGATCAGCGATAAATCTAGCACAAGCAAAATGATGTCCTCTCACACACTTACTCGCTGCCTGCCAAGCACTTGCCATGGAGGCAAATCGATGAGACCGGACGACTGCTTGGACACGCTGTCTCCATGCAAAATGAAATCTTACAGTGACGTTTACTGATGAGAATAATCTGTACAGTCAATCAGATAAATGAAGATGTATTGTGAAGAAGAGTCATAGGAAGTGTTCTCCTTTATAAGAAAATCTGGAAAGTGAGAAAGTAATCGAACCATACTTCTGTCGAGTAGCTAGTGTCTATTAAAGTGCGAACTAAGCAAATTGCGAAAAACAAAGCTATCGCTGTTGGCTATCGAAGTGATGATGCGAAGAATCTACAAGCACGTCAGCATGAAATCTGTCATCCATCAATGAAAGTTGTTGCTTCTAGATTATGAGAAGAGATTTTGAGTTCTTGCCAGGAGGATCTTCTCCAAAAAAACTAAGACAAAACTGCAGAGTAAGGACAGCTTTTCCTCTTAACAATTCGACATTTATCTATGCTAAACTGTGACTGATGAAAGACAGCAATGTCAGTGTAAGTCAACACAGTCCTCACAGCTGTAATTGCTGTGATGACATGGGGTTAAGAAGAGAGAACACGCCGCCAACACAACCAGACGGCGACGAGCGATGTCGCGCGCGCAGAGCGAAAAAAATTTTGCTGCCACAGCACCTTCGCCTTTTACATGCTCTTACATATACTAGCTAATTTCCGTGAATTACGATCGAATACTGGAAGTCGCCAGCTCATAAAACCACAGATCAGCTGCATCTTTATCGAATACGATCATTTTCACAAAAAGTCGATTTCTTTCAAACAACTCGCGGTGTGGTTTTAGTACAGTCAGGAATCTAATGAATTGAAAATTACGGCTTTGTTCCTAGGGATTACGATAATTACTGAGAAGACGGTAATAGTTGGAGCAAAGAACGATGGGTAGGATATGAGTAAACTGACTGAGTGGCATTGACGGTAGGAGAGAAATTGCTCTTTAGACTGCTGGGTTATGGCTCTATAATCAGTTGGATTCCAGATCTACTCATGTTCTATTCGTGTTATCTCTATTCGTGATCTCCCTTCTTCCAGTATACGTTTAAAACGTGCATCTCTTGTGATATTTTCTTGAGAACAACTTAAATGGTTCTAACTGACTGCGACCCCTTTTACACGATGTATTAACATTCAGCCATCTCTGCAACTTGAGTATCAGAAAAGACAGCGGTAAACCTTTCTTTCGTAAGCTAGCATATGTAGTGTGTAATCGCATCATCTGCATTTAGAAAATACTGCGCTGCTCTATTATTTGCGCCAACCACCCCTAGCGCTACTCTAACGCGATGTAGGAATCTTCGTTCATCTCACTTTTTGCTTACTTTTTAAGAAAAACTAATTCGTTTGCACATACAGAATCATCCACTAATCATAGAGGGTCTTTCCTGAGAGTAGACAGAATGATAAAAAAACGAGCGAAAAACTTTCGCAAAAAACCATGCAAGAAACAGCCTATTTTGAAAGTAAGCGAGAACATCTTACCTCGAAGTGATCCTTCTGAATCTGCTTCATCTCGTTTCACTTGTCACACAGTCGATATGCCTTGCAGTCATGTCTCGAATGCTCACTTGATGACTGCAAAATCATATTATTCATCCATTCCAAGTATCCATATGTCACAAAAACTTACTATGTCAGTCAATATCATGAAGTTGTTACCTATCTCAGAAACCTTTTCCTCTGTGCTCTCCTCAAAACAGCATTACGTTGAGTTTCTGCCTAGGTGAACAATGGAGTATAGGCGATCCGTTTCACGCAAAAACTGCGGACTCAGCGTCTCTCTGATCGAGCGCTCTTTCGTTTCTCTCACTATCTGCTGTCTCTCCAAGCACGAACTATCTTGGTCGGAGGCAACAGCGTTCGGTCTGCGTGTCAGAAATCGCCTATTGGTACTATAACGCAGCTGACTTCCGAAACGATTCATAACAGTGCCTGAATTCCAAATCTATGGGCCTAGTGAATGCGCTGCCTACTATAAATCTAGACATTAACTTGCTAGAAGGGTTTGCTAGACGGGGAAAGGACGACGACCCCTGGACTGCAATTTATTGCAAGCCTTATCGTAAGCCGGTACACAGATACTTGAAAATGACATAATCTGTTCATATTTACGAAATTTTGCATGATGCAAAGTTTATGGACATATCAGCCCACGTCGTATGGTCACCCAAGTATTTTTCTACGCTAGATGTATCACAGTCAAAAGGCACTTTGAAGTAAAGAGGATAAAGGGGGAACCGATCTGCGGACAAATTCGAAACTTGCATTTTGCACTATATGGTCTACAGGCATTTAAATACGACAACCATTGATTCAATCTATCAAATGCGCCCTTTGCAACTATAAGGATACTTCTACTTCTCCGTAATGAAGAAACAGGATCCAATTGGGCCCGCCACCCTTTTCCAAAAAATTCCGTCCTAGAGCACAGGCATAAATCAATAGCGGCAAAGAGTTTTTATCTCGTTTGCTCTCTTTTTTTCGTTTTCTCACATACGCCGACGGTCGTTGCTCTTGTTGGAGGCTTTCAAAGCAGGGAGGGACCGTGGACAATCCGCCAAGTTGTCTCGTAAAAGATAATCCGTTTCTTCATCTCCGTCGCAAGTGTGACAGCTCGTCTATAGCAAGTGACCAAGAGCTGGAACGCGAGCACTCATAGTAGCTCGACCACTGGTTTGAATCACGCGAGTTCCTTAGCCTCTGTGTGATATCATTTTACTGCGCAGGCCACACTGGACTACTGGACGAAGGCGGTCACTCAGCTGTGCTACGGTCTGTCCTAATCTCAATCGGGCCAGAATTGAAATGGTGGAAGTCCACGTTTCGAGGGTTCTGCGTCATGTCTACGGCTAGGTGCTGTCAATTTGATCTCTTCGCTCCTGCGCAGATTTACGCCAGCGGTTCCTGGTCCCGAGTGGGACAGACTATATGTGCATGCTACCAAGTCGCGCGGGCAGACTATTGTTGGGCATTGTCCCTCATGCCCCTGACTAGTTCACCTCCCGCAACTTGTATATTTCTAGTTCATTTACAAAATTGTGAAGACGGACTTTACTGCGGACTTGGCGCCCACAAAAGCATAAAACGCTCATAAAAGAAGGAATCACCTCAGCGTTCAGCTCACTCATTTCCGTTGTCCAAATATTATCATGCGTAAGCAAATAACCACCGACGACCAGAGATGAAAATCAAGAAAATGCTATTTCCGGAAGAGGCGTGCGTGTCACGCGCGGTCGCGCCATCGTCACGATTTTTCAAATGCCCTATACCTACTTAGGCACTATGACACATATAACGGCCGGTCCTTATGTCCCCTGCAATCCCCAGCATGAGGTTTTTCTTTTCGTTTCTCAAGCTTGCGGCATCCACGATGTATTCCTGTACGTGGCTGCGTCCGCGAGTTTCTAGTCCAAAAGTAGCCAATGATTTCTGAGATGGCCCATCCCCTCCATGAACCGTCTGTCCATCTCGTCGACACTCTACCGAGAGCGTTTTACATCGCCAGATATCCTATGATATTCTTGGCGTCATCCGTCATTTGTTCTTCTTACATATAACACCATCGGTGTTTCGATTTTGCAACGTACTCCGCGATTAGGGCGTTTTTCTCAGTCGTACTGCGAATTCAGACAAGACGTCGTTTGTTGGGTTATCTTCACGAGTTGGTCGGCGGCTTCCTTTAGAGGCCCAAAGGCGGCGCAGACTGCTCTTCTTCTCCCGTTCAATTCTTCGCTCAAACCGTTCTCCGGTTCATGGGACGTTCAGGATACACGTAAGAAGACGTCTTCATACCTACTACAGTCCCTTCAGCATCGTCTCTGCTTCGGTGTTACTGCTACTGCTCGAAAAGAGAACAAGGTCGTCTGCAAACCGAAGTCCGACAAGTTCTTATCATCGACTCGTATGCCTCTATCGTCCCAGTCTAATGACTACAATCACTGCAAGGCCGTGGTGGACAGCTCTGACGAGGTTGCGTCGCCTTGTTGGACCCCCTTTCCAAATGGAATAGTTAGGGGCGATAGAATAGCTGCATCGTCGTTGTAGAGTCGTTGTAGCAATCGCTTAAGGCCTCGCATAAGTGAGGTCCACTTCTTGATCGGCGAGCGCTGACAGGATGGCGTTGTTTTCGACTCTTTCGAAGGCTTTCTCGTAGTCGACCAATTAACGCGAAAGGCAGTCGGTACTCCCTGCAGAGGTCCATGCAGCTGAATCCTTTGCGAAATCCAGCTTGTTCTTGGGGTTGAGCAACATCGTCCCAGATATGCGAGCGAGGATCATTTTCGTGAAAAATTTGTAGAGCACACTCAGCGGAGATATTGGACAGTAGTTTCGAAGATCCTCCCGTTCGCCCTTCCTGAAAAGAAGGACGTTTCTTGACGTTCTCCACTGGTCGGGAATCCTTTCCTTCTGAGGGTAAGATGTCAGGTGCGACGCAATGATTTCGTCTAGACGTGTCCTCCGGTTCGCAGAAATTCGACGGAAAGATGGTCTGGTTCTAAAGCCGTTGACGTTTTATGGTCTGAATCGCAGTGCACACTTCAGCAGGTAGAATTTGTGGTGGTACTTCTTCAGCGGAAGAGGTTGGTACAGAAGTTCTCCGTGATAGATTCCATCTTATATCGGGAAGAAGTGGAGGTCCCTTCGTTTAATAGTGCATCCAGCGGTACGTGATATTCACAGACCCGCAATGGGAGATTAAAGAGATTTTAGCGCTTTCGAGCGCTTTTGAGCGAAGTTTGACGGGTCCCACTCAAGGGCACCACTCACGTAAAGGTGATGAGATTTTGATTGATGCGATATAATAGCGAAGCCTTATTGTCTACCCAAGTCTCGCTCTAGAGAATGAGTTTCCAAGGGTGGAAGCCGCTGTAACTATATGTGTGCGGCAGAAGTAGCCTAGAAGAGCTATAGATCACTTAAGAAGTCGTGACGACGGATTCAATTGCCGTCTTTGCGCCCTTAGGAGCAGAAAACGTTCATACAAAAAGGCATCACCTAACTTTTAGCTCAGTTACTTCCAGTATCTGAATGCTATGGGTTGTTTCAGACTGCCGCACTGACCACAGCAGACTGCAGCAGATCGCAGCTGATTGCGGCAGACCGCAGCAGATCGCAGCTGATTGCGGCAGACTGCAGCAGACTGCAGCTTACCGCACTGACCGCAACGGCCGCACAGATCGCTGCATGTTTTCGTAAAGGTGGGGAGGATAAATAGTTGTAGCTCAAACAATTAACAACAATATACACCCAGATTACAAAACAGATATATGCAATAATAGGAGAATCAGAGCAAATATGAGCATACCAAAGAAAAACAATCGCCAAAATTTGATTGGGAAGAGTAAATTAGAACTTATGAACTTCCTAGACGTAAATCACGTATTTTGACGTAGTCACAATTGTTTCCTCTTTTACGAAGAATGCAGCAATCTCAGCGGCCCTGCGGTCAGTGCGGTCAGCTGCGGTCTGCTGCGGTCAGTGCGCTCTGCTGCAGTCTGCTGCAGTCAGTGCGGCAGAGAAACAACCCTATCATATGTAAGCAGAAAAACTATTCGAGTAGAGATGAAAACCAGAAAGTAGCGGTTGCCGTGTACGCGTGCGTGTCGTGCGCGGTCGCGTCACATTGCTCGAGTGCCCCATAGCTATACAAAGTCGCATAGCGTAAACGGTACTATTCCACATCCACATTAGTTGACCCAAAATGAATTTGAATCATGAATTTCGCTAAAACTTCGTCTTGGGGTTATTTGGTATGCTGAACACGAATATGATATTTATTTCGTGCGACAGCGCCATCCCGTGGTGTTACGGTAGGACTACGGTATAGGGTTAAAATCACGTTGCCCGAAACTTGGCCCGGAGGGGCTATTCGGCCTGCTGATGCCAAATATCACATTGGTTTTGAACCGTAGCGTCTTTTTTTCGGGTTACGGTAGCTACACGGTAACGGGTGCAAAACATAATCTCGAGTCATTCGTAACTTGATATGCGTACTGCACACCATGTGCACTATTTGATGGACCTGTAAGATTAGAACCTGCTCATTTCCAGTGATTTCACTCTGTTTCCTTGTCTCCTTTGGTTCGATTGGATATGTATTAGTTAGCAGTATGCATTTTTACACTATGTTACGCTGGAAGAAGTCTTATTCAGGATTTATCGATAAACGGGCCGTCCGTTGAAACGCTTTGTGTAAGGCTCACCTAATAAGTTAAAAATGACCCGACGATAGTTCTGCCTAAAACGGGTGTACGGCGATTCGGACGATCGTGAAGCTTGGCACGCGACCATCGCCGCGCGCTACATACCCTGCTGTGGCTTTTGTCTAAGCAAAGCACAGGGGAAGGATACATTTGCCGATTTGTGATTTCGACCCCTACCGTAAACCTACCGTACCCATGCAGGAAGACGTTTTCGAGTGGAGAAAGTGTGACATGTAAAACAAAGACAGAGAACTGGTGGTTGGTCCCTTCCCCCTTTGTGGAATAGCACGACCGTGGAATAAGAGTTTATCGACAAAGACACAAAAAAGAATACAAAATAGGCAAGAACAATGAGCAAAGGCAAAAAACGTGCGCCTCGAGATCGAACAGAGAGAGAACTGAAAGGCAGTGTCCGGGCAAAAACTCGATTTTGAGATTTTGTGCTTATACGGGCCTATTCGCCATGCTGAATCCGAAAATCCAGATTGGAAAGCGCGAAAACGGCGAAAAAGGGCTCTAATATAGGAGGGAAATCAGCAGGTGGGCGGGGCTTTCCCCAGTGCGATTTCACGCTCCCAGCTCCCGGAGAGATTTTCTCGATTCCGCTAGCCGTTCTAACATCGCTACCGGCCAAATGCGAATGACTGACTTGAAACCGGAAGCGAGAAGGTCGCTCCGGAAGCCGGGAACGTGAATTCGCAGTGGGGAGTACCCCGCCCACTGCTCATTTCCCTCCTGTGTTAGAGCCTTTTTGCGCCATTTTGGCGCTCTACAATGTGCATTTTCGGATTCAGCGTAGCGAATAGGCCCAAGTAAGCACAAAATCTCAAAACCGAGTTTTTGCCCGGACACTGCCTTGAAGTGCACTTCGAATGATGCAACACCCGCCTGCCCGGCCCGCCAAGTCGGCGGTTGGTCCTGCCGCGAGTAGGGAGCGCGGCAGACGACAACATTCGAAACAATACGAAACAATACAAATGAATGTAGAGAACTATCGCAGACATGTTTTCATCCTCAATCGTCTTCTCATCGTTACAGACATTTCTAATCAGCATGTCGAATAACCCCTCAGTGCCAATAGCGGATTTTGAGATTTTGACCCCTGTACCCACCGTAAGCCGAGAAAATGACGTTACGGTACAAAATCAATGTGATCCGTGATTTTGACCCCCTACCGTAATCCTACCGTAACTGCACCGGATGGAGATGTCGCACGAAATAAACATCATATTCGTGTTCAGCGTAACAAATAACCTCCGTAGACGAAGTTTTAGCGAGTTCACGACTTTCATTTTTTGAGTCAACTAATGTGGAATAGCGTGGCGTAAAATTACGTGTGAAGGTAGTGTCTAGGCAGATCTGGACACATGCATGTAGATTTAACATGGAAACTGTATGGGGGCCCTAATTAAGGTAATGCCAAGCTGGCAGCGCAAATGAATTATCTACGGCCGAGGAACGTCGCCACGTGTCCTTGCAACTATACAGGGTGTCCGTAAAGTATGTATACACCGTTTGATCGTTAATATCTTTCTTCCCAACAAGTCTTTTATCCTGCTTCTGGTACCGTTTTGTAGAGCTGGCTTCAACTTAGATTTGTGCTACAGAACGAATCACCCATCTCTCTTTATTACTGTAGGATTGCGGTAGAAACTTCAAAGAGGGATTTGAGCCATAAAAGGCCATATTTTGCCTCAGAAAGGAAACAAAACAGCTTGAAAGTTTTTACACTAGGCTAATTAGAGTTGTTGATTATAACTGTAAAGTTCCCAACTTATTATGATTCTTTATTGAAGAGTTATGCCAGGTAAGAGGTAGCGAATTTTTTCAATGTTCCTAAAAAGTGCGGTTACACCTTTATAAAGCTTCGCAATCTTGTGAATAGTTGAGTATTGAACTCGGCGTCCATAAAAACCCTATTACAAAAGTTTTCATATTTTTTTTTGAAAAATTTTGAGACGGCAGCTTTTCCACATTGACACCATATGTTTCAAGTTTCTACCGTAATCTTACAGTAATGAAGAGAGATCGGTGATTCGCTCCATACTGTAAATCTAAGTTGAAGCCAGCTCTACAAAACGGTGCCTGAAGCGAGGCAAAAGACTTGTTGGGAAGAAAGATATTAACGATCAAACAGTGTATACATACTTTACGGACTTGTATACAGCGGACAAGTCATCGTGTAACTGCACCACTCTAGATATGGCTGGGTTCATACTGATCCTGAAGTACCGAAGTTCCACACAGTCTCGCACTGTGCTGGAGGAGTGCCGGGACTGTGTTGCATGCGCTGCAGCCTACCGCATGCGGTTTTGAGCGGCGCGAAATAACAATTTTTGACTTTCTCCATTCTCCAATGGTTTCCACAGTAGATTTTGTTCTTTTCATTTCATTCTTGTGTCACGCTTGCTCTTGTGATCAAAAAAATTCCAAATTTGGAAAGGGGTACAAGAATGAGCGCGAATTCAATTTGTGCATCAGCTCAGAACTATCACAATTTGATGTCGTTTCCACTCGTGTATAGGCGCCGTAAAACCTAATTGCCCGCGCCGTGACTTGAACACCAGCGTAAGCGAGCGGTCGTCGCGAACGATTGTCGGCGTTCACTATATTCCAAAAAATCTTTCTTTAGTTTTCATGTTGCTCTCGTCAATGCAAGGTATATCTTGACGAAAGCTCCCTTCAAAAGCTTAAAAAAATATGTGTGGAAAGAGCGCGCGCTCATTGTCGCTCGAAAAAAGCCTGTAGCGCTTCGGGACCAAACGTCTTCAGCCGCGCCGCGCGTTGGTGTTCAAAGCGACGCGTGGGCAATTGGGTTTTACGGGGCCTGTACATTTTTCCACGGAAGTTTTTCCATCAGAAGCGGAACAGTAATCATGGACGAAAGAGCAAGCAGTAAAACTTGTGAAAATGAATGGGGCTGAAACGCCGAAAAACCCAATATCATGAACACACAAATTCGCATTTCTGCGACCGTGATGGCGTATCGGTCCTCTTTGGAGACAGCTGAAGATGTCAAGGGTACAGCGACTCTCTTAGATGCAAAAAAAGTGTTTAACAGAAAAATCACGCAACAAAATATATAAGTTATCGTTGATTCGTTGACCGCACGGACTGCTCAAACGCGGCGGACCCGCGCGACGCGGATAAAATGTTGCAAGAGCACGATTTGTACAGTGGCGGATTTGTACTGGGGCAAGCGTTTTACCTCGCGGCGCGTGCTCCGTAGTGATGTCCAATCCGTGCGGTCAACGAATGAACCATACACAAGACATGACATGAAAAAAACTCATTCTCGATTCTTTAGTTCTTCACATCACAAGAAGAAACAAGATGCGAGAATGAGACGAAGATGGGCAGAATTTACAATTGAAAAGGTTGTACAAAGTCAAAAATTGCCATTTCGCGCCGCTGAAAATCGCATACGGGCGGCTTCAGCACATGCAGCATGGTTCTGACACAGTTCCAGCACAGGGCGAGAACTGTGCTGGAACTTCTTCTGATAACTTCCATGTTCGACCTTCTATGAACCTTGGCATGACTCGATTATCTTATAAGTGTTTTTGAACGATAATTGAATTAATTCTTATAAGATAACTGTGCTGGAACTGTTCCACAACTTTGGAATTGCGGAATGAATATGAACCCGGCAATGAGCACACAATACGCTTTTTCTACTTCGTGCAATCGTCTTCGTGTCAATCCCGCAAAAATCATACGGTTTGTCTACAACAGTGACTCTTAGCACAGAGCAATGCTGGATAAGAGAGTCCCTAGATTGTTTTTAAATCTAACTCGATAACTTCCAGCCACAGTGGGGCATCGTTCAAACCGCGCCAGAACCTGCCAAAAAGGGAAGCAAGTGAAAATATGTATCGTCGGGTTACCTTGACTAATATGTAGATACAAAACGACGCGGCATTTCCGCGAGTTCCAGTATGCCAATTTCCGCGCAAACCTTCATTACTTCCCTCACTTGGCGGTTCTGGCGCGTTGCGGTTCGGGCGGTTCCAGCGGGTTCAGGCTGATTAGAAGAGTTTTAGCTCGTTCTAAACATGCCTGAAGGATTTTGGCCTCCATCTCAACAAACGTTCTTCAGTATCTACTATGATATTCATTTTCGCGAATGTATATTCTCACTTCTGAACCTATTAAAGGAAACTTAATAACAACCTTACCTTTTTTAGGGAGACTTGCGGTATGGATGACAGCGTTGATCCCGATGACGTTGGGGCGACTTCTTGCGATCCCTCCGATAGAGCGAATGGAGAGAGAGTGGGTTTCTTGAAGACGGGTATTCCTGTCGTGTACTTTCGCTAACAGGAGACAAGTCTTGACATGTGTAGTATGAGTTCGAACCTGAAAAAAAAAGACAAAAAAAAACAAAATGGGACATTGCATCATGTTAAACGTGCAAACTAATGATTGCGGGTTGTATGAAACCTTATGGCTGCTATGGCTTGTAATTTCCCTTCCCAGCTGTAGAATACGTGGATTTACGCTGAATTGTCCCGCTAAACAATCGCCCTGCGCAACATGATGCATCTCTGCCTACTCTCTAAGTGTAAAGAAAAGGATGCGTCGAACGCGAATGGTACTGCGACAATGTTTAATCATAATGAAGCTTTCACAGACTCAGCGTCGTTGCAGGACCCCTTTGATTATCGTTGCAGGATGCGCACTCCGTATGCGAATAAATTTCAAAGCACGCGCCTAGTGTTGAAGACAAAGCACATGGGCGGCTGGAGACTTTGGATCCCGAAGCGCTACAGGCTCAAAGTCACAATAAGCGCGCGCATCTTTTCCAGAAGTAATGGATTTTTTCGCTGACCTGGGCCGATTCTTCCCGCTGATTCCGGAAATGCAGCTTGCAGAGTACAAAAATGCCGGAAATGGGCCAATCCACAAGCTGTTGATTTTAATTATATAGACGCTGCTGCCGAGGTCAAGACGCAGAGTCGTGGTGGGACCCTACTTTTGACTGTGCGACATATGGTAGGTGCCAGAGTAAGCGAATATTTTGTTCAAGTTGGGGTCCCGCGCAGAACTGGCATCACTAATCATTGTGGCATAATGCCAACTTGGCGTTGTGCCACAATGATTAGTAACGCTAGTTCTGCGCGACCCCAACTTGAACAAAATATTCGCTTACTCTGGCACCTACCTATATGTGCTCTGGCCATTGATTGTAGGGGCGGTTAGGGCCGAGGCGTCCCGAAGCCAGTTTGAAGCGGTTTTGTCGCTTTAGAAGCAAGGTGGTGCAATGCCACTTGGCAAGAGCTTTATCAGGGCAGGAGGCCCTGTACGCTACAATCTCATATCTACCCGAACGCTGCCTTTGAAACACTCTACAATGTCTAGTGCAATATGGTAGTGGACGGAGAAATCAAGCGAAAATGAACCCTTACAGTTCGCTACAAACTCTCTAAAGGTAGTGTCCTGGCAACAACTCGACTTTGAGATTTTGTGCTTACCCGGGCCTCTATGCTGAATCCGAAAATGAAGACTAGAGAGCGCTAGATCGGCGAAAAAGGACTTTAACACAGGAGGAAAACTAGCAGGTGGGTGGGGCCCTCTTCACTGTGAATTTACGCTCCCAGATTCCAGAGCGATCTTCTCGCCTCCGGTTTCAAGTCAATCGTTTGCACTTGGCCGGTGGCGATGTCAGGACGACTGGCGGAACCAAGAAGACCGCTCCGGAAGCTGGGAGCGTGAATTCACAGTGGGGAGACCCCGCCCACTTGCTGTTTCTCTCCTGCGTTAGAGCCCTTTTTTGCCGTTTTCGTGCTCTCCAGTGCGGATTTTCGGATTCAGCATGGCGAATAGGTCCAGATAAGCACAAAATCTCAAATCGAGTTTTTGCCTGGATGGGAATTTGGGCAAGATGGGAATTTGGGACTTCAGTGCCATGCGAAAGTGCCCCCTCCCCCCTTCTCTCAGTCACAGCATCGCGCAAGTACGAGGTCATAACCATCTACTTAAAGCAAGAAAAACGATCAGGAAGTGGGGGAACTTACGCCTTGGGGTGAGGTCCTCCGAGCTGTTTGAATTCCTGCTATGCGGCAGAGTATCGTAGGGTCCTACAGCGACTCCGCGTCTCAGCCTTGGCGGGGAGCGTCCAATTTCAAATTGTCAGGCTTTGGAAAACGCATGTGGGTGGAGGACTATATGTCGCCGAATTTGGAAGAGTCCCGAGCGGATTCCCTGCAGGAATGCATGTCCGCGCATGTACAAGGGTGCGAATGTCACTTTTCGGATTCAGCATTGCGGAGAACCCTCCCCCTATGGGAACGGCCATACGTTGTCGGTGTTGTCGATGTTGTCGGTGTTGTCGGTGTTGTCGGTGTTGTCGATGTTGTCGATGTTGTCGGGGTTGTCGGGGGTCAGAGACAGTTTAGAGAGCGCGCGAAACGTGGAGGCTATCATGAGGTCCTACACGACCGGCAATCTCGGCAACCCCGACAACACCGACAACATCGACAACCCCGACAACCTATGGCCGTTCCCTATAAGTGGATTTTCAAAAACCGAGCGAGTTTCTGTCCGGACACTGCCTTTTAGGTATTCGCACGGCAGAGGCGATTAGGTTTTACGTAGCTTGTACTAGGTGGACTAGATTGTACACAAATGTCCTCTCCATACTTTTGTGCTTGCCGAGCATAGCGGTGTCTCCAGTGCAGTTTTTAATCCAACCCAGAAAGGAAAATAATACTTATTGCCTAGATCTTGCATGTTTCATGGAAAGGTTACCTTCTTCGCGTTCAAACTATTTCATTTCAGTTCGTCCCCTTCTTCGCAGCACGTCGGGCGTTACTGTCATGTCATCACTACCGTAGTCCAGCAAATCAGTTCCTCGAACTGGGCTCTATTAGTTTGGGGAAGTGCCATGCTGATATTGAAGATGTGTTGGGCAAGAATAAACAGCTGTACATAGAAACACCTCTTCCGGAAGACAACCTAATTTGGGTGAGAGGAAGTTTTCGCTGTGATTTTTCTTCGTTGTTTCGCTGCTCCCTAGATAAGCGAGTAAACGCTTTATGTGCACAATCAAAATTCAGTCATTCTAAAAATAATTGTCACTTTGTTGCGAAGCTGCGCGCCCGTCAAATTGAAGTGGTGGCTCAAAAAGGATCGATGTGACAGATTTCCGAACCTACGTCTTTTTGTGTGGCATGCACCCTCTTTAACGCTTGAAAGTCTCTCAAAGAGTCATTCGGCAAAGGTGATGTGAGCTTGACTCATCTCATTAAAGCACAAGATCATTACGAGAGCAATTTAGAACTTGTGGGTTAAACCGAGATACTACACGCTATGTCAATCACGAGCTCCCTTCTCCGTAAGGCCTAAGGCATACTTCACGCGATTTGTCCAAATCGCCACTTTCACGCGACTTGGCGATTTGCCAGATTTCTACAAATTTATCCTACGCGCTTCTCGAACGCATAGGCGGGTAGCTTGTGTAAGTTGTTGCAACTGGTTTAAGTTCTGACGAAAGGAAACGCATTAACGACGAATTACAGAGAGTTGTTGTTGTGCCAAATCGCACAGCGACAGGAATCGCGCGAGGTATGCCTTATTAGGGGTAAGGCCTAAGACATACCTCGCGCGATTTCGGTCTCTACGCGATTCGGCACGACAGCGACTCTTCGTCCTCAATTAGGCGCCGCTTCTGCGGGCTGCTGGTCCTTTCGTCTTACTGTTGTACATCGTGTTGGGACCAGTAGTCCGCGAAGGCGGTGCCAAATTGAGGCGTTCGTTCCTCCACCCAGGCCTAAGACATACCTCGCGCGATTTCGGTCTCTACGCGATTTGGCACGACAGCGACTCTTCGTTATTCGTTTTTAATGCGCTGCCTTTGGTCAGAACTTGATGCGTTTGCAACAACTTACACAAGCTACCCAAATATGCGTTCAGAAGCGCGCACGATAGATTTACAGAAATCTGGCAAATCGCCAAGTCGCGTGAAAGTGGCGAAAGTGTTGTTCTTACGTTAGAAGGAGTACGTAATTGACGCAGACTATATAGTCTTACTGATTCTTGGAATATGCATCAGCAGCCTCTTTAGAAGAGGTTCTTTCGAATTTGATCCTTTGATATGTTTTCTGCATTATCGGAACCGGTTGTCTTTATCAAGGTTTCAGATATATGCGAAGACGTCAAATAAGAACAAGAGAAAAAGCAGGGGAAGATGTCCAAAATCGCAAAATGGATTGACATCATTTCTTAGAATCAAACCATCACATAAAGGAAGAACACTCCTACAGTATCCGGCAGAGTTAGTTTACTGCTTTTTCTCCCCTGATTTATCAGACTGGAAATCTACTTGAGACATTGTATTACAGAGCCTTCTCTTTGTGCGGCTTTGAGATGCGTTGGCAGATTGATTCCGGAAAACTAGTGTTACATGTTTACCTCAAGGACTCTGTTATCAAAGACATGGATGTAGCGCAAAGGGTTGGAGAAATCAGAAATCTGGTCCGAGGAGGTTCCAACCGTTGTGCCAATGCTGTTCTTGGCTTGGTATATCCGCAGTTTGCTAAGGTTAGTGTTATCATCTAGCGCTGGAGCTTCTGTGTCTCAGTTACACTTAGTTTTCCATTACTGGATCCGAAAGGATTAATTTATCGCTCACGCGTGCATTTGGCCATGGCCAGCACGAAAGATGTCGTTGCTCTTAGATCTGGAGGTTCGCTTGAACTCATTGCCATGAAAGAGGTGATTTGAAACTGCACGCATAGTAATGTACTATATACAGTGTGGCTACAGTCCACTTCAAATCTTGCAGACGGGCGTATTTGGAGCGTGTGTTGGCACACGAAGAACCAAGATTGCGACGAGCACGAAGAATAAGCCAGTGTCCAGGCTAAATCTTCCCCTCCGATTAGTACCGATCCTGAATGTAGGCCCCAGGAAAGGGGCATCGGTCCGGTCCTCTAACGTTGCTTCTGAATGGAGGTTATGGACTTGGAACCGCGAAAGTGCTATCAAGCCACGCCCAGATCCTATCAAGCTCCGCCCAGGGTAGTGAAAGCCGTCTGGGTCATCACAATAGGGCTCCCATGAATCAGGTTCTTTGGGGCTTTTGCACATTTTGAACTTCAAACTTTAATCAGGCCACGGAAAGCCCCCGAATGACCAAAATATGGGAGGCAAAATTTTGAGTGGACGCTGCCTTTATAGAAGACGCTGGAGATGCCTTTTCTCGCATTTGGCTGATACACCGCGAACACAGCAGTTTCAGGATTTTACAGTAGTACACATTTTTCAAAAGAAGCCTAGATCTTTCTATCGATAAGCAATTAGACTGAACGTGTTATAGACCCTCAAGAAGCAATCTAATCTCTGGGCTGAAGTGCCGATTATCGACCAACGTGAAAACTTCGATGAATTCTTTGACGCAGTCCGCGAACGACGAAAGGAGCCTCCTACGTACGAGCTGAAGTGAGAAATTTTGCACAACTTCATCGTTTTTTGATTTGCCTAGCTAATTCCGCTGCTAAGGTTGGGTGGGCTGAGTACTAACCTACTTCCTTTCCAAAAGGATGCAGTCAACTTCATGATAAATCGGGAGATCAATTCTCCTGTTGATCGCGGAGATTTGCTGAAGTAAGCGAATGTTATACCACCACTTTGTAATAGCTTTGTTAGTATTCAGAACCATTGCATTGCCTGGACATCGCAACATTCAATATCTTCCTTGCTTGGGGATTTTCATCCGCAATGCAAACAAGTTAACTTGTGTCGATGATGAAGTACAAGGTGATTTTACTGTAATCTTTCAAATTCCAATTTTTCACGCATTTCCAGGTGGAATACTTGCTGACGAAATGGGTTTGGGAAAGACAGTGGAACTACTGGCACTTATCCTCACAAACGGTCGCGGGGATAAACAACCCGTATCTTTTCGTGAAGAAAATGAACCAGCTGAATTTGATCTGCGAAGGTAAATTTCCATAGATAGGCCGGACTGCTATTTAATAAAGGGCTACATGCTTAATATTTGTTTGTCGACTAATTTATTACTCTTCCAGTGGTGTTGACAAGGATGTGGCAGCTACGGTTGAATTTCTGACGTCTTCTGTTGTTGCTATGGCCGATACTGAGTTTCTGGTAAGTTGGTTGAACGTGGTTTCAAGTTAATGGAGATATACTTAGGCTCCTCCCAAAAAGCGTTTCCGAAGCGCAGCCGGTTCCAGTGGTAGAGGACAGAGCGTTATCTGTACTATCTGTAAGAAACGACATCGACTGGCCGATGTGAGTTTTCTCTCGTTTCCTCTCGACAGCAATACTTATTTGTTTAGGTGCACTGGTCCCGAGATTATGAGAAAGACGGGCGATTGTTCATATGTCCACTGTGTATTGAGAATAATGTGAGAAAATATTCAAAAAGTTGCTCAAGTCTTGTTCAATGTTGTAAACATTTGCAGAAAATGGATTTCGAGGTTTCGACTACTTTGATAATAGTACCAGAATCGCTGTTGCATCAGTGGTATGAAGAAATTCGCCGACACTGCAAAGAAGAGGTGATCATCGATGTAAGCTCTTGAATATTTTTTCAGCGAACTAGTGAGCCAATAATCCTAAAGGTGCTAGATTTGCATCCGCGCGCTTCCGGACAAATGCGGTTCCCGTTATCTGATGTTTTTTGAATTGCAGTTGCGATTCTTTATTTGTTAGATTCAAATGAAGCTGGACTGATTCTTCTAGGTGTACTATGGTGTTGGCGCTGAAGGGTACAAACATCCGGTATATATGGACACATGTGATATCATTCTATGTAGCTACGAAACCTTGCAAAAAGAGATCTTCTATGTACCTTCGGGCTCAGGAGCAAGTTAGTACCTTTTCTGTTATTATAGACGCAGAGAAGTAACGAATTTCAGTTGAACTACGGAAACGTCCTCGACCAAGCACTCAAAAGTATCCCAGCCCACTTCTAGCCGTGAATTTTCTGCGGGTAAGCATATCTTGTATGCTCCATATCCTTTTATCATAATACTCCTCCCAGATCTGCCTAGATGAGTCTCAGCTTGTGGAAAGTAAAGTGAAAGCTGCCGCCAGGATGTGTTCGTTCCTTCGAGGTCGCTACCATTGGTGTGTTACAGGCACCCCGCTGTCAAAGTCTGTTAATGGTAAGGAACTGTAACTGTTTCGGCTGTGCTTTGCTGCACAGTCTTGATTGCAGATTTATACGGGCTTGTATGCTTTCTTGGACTATTTCCCTATTATATCGACTCTGTATGGGAACATTATTTGTTTAACCCATGGACCACTGGGAAAAAGAAGGCAATGATCAATTTGTTTACACAGTTGATGTGGAGAAATACGAAGAGGGATGTGGCTGACCAAGTATGTCTGGGTTTTGTGATTTCGGAGACTTCCTGTTTTATTGAGTAATTTTTACTAAATGGGGCTTAATCAGTTGTTGTAAACCTCGAATTCACTCATACTATGCTTGGTACATTTTATCCCGAGTCTTGTGAAGTACAATTTCACGACCCAACGCGCTTAGAATCTAACTTTCTATCATTGTTGAAAGGTTGGCACGTGATTATTACGCTTTCAGTTGGATAACATCGTCCGCGAAGATCTCCTTGTTGAGCTATCATTCTCACCTATTGAGGAGAGACTCTATTCTGCAAAAATAGAGAAATCTAAGGAGAAAATGCGGACATTACTGGATTCTCTGCTTTGCAACAACGATCCAGAGACTCCGCTGAGTTCACTTCCGTCAGCAACTGTAGATGCAATTTTTGCTATTATCAATGATGTTAGGATCTCAATATTAGCTGGTACGCTCACACTGTCAATATCTTGTATCTCACGTTAAGAACTTGATTCTAGGAGAGTCACATAAACACAAAAAGGATCTAAATTGTATAGCTGATTTTCGTATGTTTTCACCTAAGCTAATATTTCGGAAACTATTTGAAGACGCTAGAACTGCCGTTGTTCAACGTCATCGTGAAATGGTCGCAAATCGAAATGGTAAAGTATACCTTAACTTTCTGCCTCACAGTTCTTTCTTTCTCTTGATCGGCCGCTATACCCTGAGATTCTAGCACTGGCTGGGATCTATTTACTTTTGGGAGAAGAACATCAGGCCCTGGATTGGTACAAGCAAGCCTATAGCATACATGAAGAGCAGAAAGAACTGAATCGATTGCTTGGTTTGGAGGGAACGCATGAAATTTTGGAAGAAGTAACTTTGGAAGAATTATGGCGTCGAAACTAAAGTGAATGTTTAGGTGAAAGAGGAACACAAGGAGCATAAGGGTGAGGAAGAGGAAGAACAAGATGAGCAGGATCTCGATGAAACCAAAAAATGTAAACCTTTGGAAATAGACTCTCTACAGATGATCCATATAACAAGGTGCGATCGAATAAGAAAATCCATTCAGTTTGGGAAGGTCGAATTCCAATGTTTTCAGAAATATGAAGGAGCTAGCTGAAAAACTAGATGCCGCCAAGAAATTTGTTGAAGCAAATGACCTAGCACAGCTGGAAGAAAGATATCATCAAAGATACGTAAGAGTTGAGTCGGCTTTGGTAACTCGCGTTAAGAGAAAATGGTGCGAACTGGATGCGAAGTGGAGGGAAATTGATGGAAAGGTGAAAACGATTCAGCTTGATGCTCTTGAAGGTGTATATGATATATTTGTAGTTTGATGCTGGTAGAATGTCATACGCGATCATGTTAGACAATATGGCTGGAACATATGCATTCAAGGAGTTCGAAGGAACTGTACCTTTCTTTCGGAAATCGCAACGGTAAGACATTCCTAAATGAATTCCAAATTTCATAACGCATGTCGGATGCTGTTGAACCTAGCCCCTCTCTCTATTCACCTTTTAACCCCATGGATCTCAATTTGACAGCTCGAGGCTACGTTTGAGGCTGCTCGAGGCTACGTTTGAGGCTATGATTTGTTAGCATATTCTAAAGGCTGTCTCAGTGAGATCAAGACCAAAACCCTCGCGCCTTCCTTGCGCCGCGGTCGCAGAGGTATCTTGGAGAAAGTGGGAAAATGCCCAGACGATACATTCTCGAACGCGGCACATGGTCCGAGCGAGGCGACCGTGAGGGTGCGAGCGCTAGAGCCATGCTTGAAACAACCTATATGCGAAAGTTGAGATCCGTAGTGCTGGAGAGTCTGTGTAATGAAAGCATAGCTGTAACAGTGGTTTTTATCGTCATTCATAAAATAGATATAAGACTTGTTCGAGATTTTCTTTTTTTTTTAATTTTTTTTCGTTCCAGATCCGAAACTCCTTTGACAGCTTTCGAATTCTTGTTGTCTTTCGACGAAGAGATGCTTTCTCTCCGACGGGTGTTCACAGATTTCTATAAAATGTTAGAGCAGTTGTTACTGCCATTTCAGCCAAAGGTATTTTGATACGCAACCAGTTGCTAAGCATGATTCTTATAGATTTCGTCTAGGCAAGGGATGGCGAATGCTTTGTGATGGAAGAGACTTTAGTTCCGCCACGTTCCGATCTCAAAGAATTTTCGGATTTGCTAGCTTGCAAACATAATGTGTGGTATCCGGTGGATTCGGTTGAGGGCTTGCCAAACATTCCAGACTTATTTGCATTGTAAGGATCGATTTGAAAAGCAGCAGAACCAAATATAGTACTTTTAGCTCGCCTGTGAATACTTGTACTCGATGCAAGGTGGAGGCAATGATGTCACAAATCTCTCTAGATCTCAATCGGTAATCTAAGGTTATACAACTGTGTCAAAGACTTCGATCCAATGTGCTTCCAGAAGAGGAAAAGCTTGGCATGAGCTCATCCTTATCCGCATGTACAGATCATCTAAAAACGAGGTTATGACAGTGGTTCATCCATTCTATGAAATATTGCTGAAATGGCTAACCCTCATCGAGAAGATGCTCCGCGTTGGACGGGAAATCACTACATACGTACAAGAATGGGTGAACAGAGAGTACGCTGATTCTTTCATCTCAATTGATCTGTCGTCGATACTATAGCTGGATTCCGGAAGAAGTTTTTATAGTACTCATGCGCAACGCTAATACGCCTCTCCTTCCAAAGCGTATACTGATCTCAAATCGAAAAGGCGAGAGCTCGCTCTGCGCATGTATGCGGAGGCGCCTGAAGGTGTTTCCATAGTTCCTTGTGTGCCAGCGCCGTGCCAGCGCGCCTATGTGAACGAGCTCCGTAGTGATCGATTGACGTCGCTGGCAAAGCAACTCTGGACGCAGCCTTAGGACTGTTTTCGAATTTAGACGATAACTTTCACGACTAAAGAAATAAAGACTCGAGGATAAATCTCGCAGTGGCATTTTGTTTAGGAGGGAACTGGTCATGGGTGCGACGCGATTCCAGTTTGGGATGAACATCTCGATACCGTATTTACCACGACCACTCTTGCTGTCAAAATATACATTGGATGTAAGTTTTAGCGTTTAGCAATGAAGGAAGTGATTTTGGGTGGAGGACTATATGTCGCCGAAAAAGGGCGGTCCCCGCGGTCATTTGCGACAAATACGCATTCTTATACATGCGCGGACATGCGTTCCTGCAGGGAATCCGCGCGGGACTCTTCCAAATCCGGCGACATATAGTCCTCCACCCAGTGTTTTTTAGTGGAATCTTACTTACTTGAATTATTGAGCTCAGCGGGATACCACATTTGACCTTTACTCTAGACGGAAGCCTTCTATGTGGATTGCTTGCAAGTAGAAGCCTTTTGTGGCGTACGCGATTGAACGATCTCGGAAGTTTATTCATAGTGTTTATGACAGTGATAGTGTGTGCTTTGCTGAAGATGTCTAGAGAGGCAGGAGTTCGATCTGTGTTGAGGAGAATGAGAAAAATTGGGGTGGGCAAGTGATCAGTTAGTGCTCAGAAAAGTGTGGTTTATCAGCTGTTGACGAAGATAGATCAAACAAGTGCAGGCATTGTATGAATTTAGATTTTCGGTATCTAAGCCGCACGAAGGTGGCCTTTGATCCAAACTAAATTTGATCTTTCAGATACCTATAGCCATATATAGTCGTAGTGAGACTGTTTCGGCTAAGGCGCTCTCCAGTTCTTTGAGTGCTCTTCGCTATCTGAACACCTTGCAGCGGTCAGTCTCACTCTTCTCCAAAATTTTGGTAGTTTTTGTAATTTGATTCCAGAGAAAACCAGTCTGATACTGTGAGAGAATGTCCCTGCTGTTATATGGAGTTGAACGACATCTGGATTGTATTCCCTTGTGCCCATATTGTATGCGCGGCTTGCATGAAAAAATTGAAATCGTAGGTGTTTCTCTTTCATTTTGCAGTCTGTCCGTTTTCTAGTAATTTTTTGCAACAGGATGCCGTCACTTCCGAATAAAGTGCGTTGCATAACTTGTCGTCAAGTTTTTCCTGTGGATGCTACAATGTATGTAGTAGACAAGAAGGATGAGCTGATTCCAGGAGTGCGTTTGACGGTGAAGGTAAGGATGGGATCTGCACTTTTGCGGTTAGAACTGAGCTTAAACTTTTAGTTTGAGCAAATCATTCGTCGTCTGAAGAAGTTGATTGAAGAAGATAGCACAAACAAGGTATTGATCTGGACAGCAGGGACCAGTTCTCCTCTCTCTTTTGCTTTGCTCTAGAATTCATTACTCATGATACTTGTAGATTTTGGTTTTCACGTCCATTGCTGCAGCCATTCCACCATTTGCTGCACTGCTAAAACTGCTAAAGCTTCCAAACTTGGTACTTGACAAAGGATCGAAATCAAAGACTCTAAGTATGTTCCGAAGTGACCCGAATATCAAAGTAAGGAGGTGTATCTTACGTATGCTGTCAGATACTTGCATCTTCAGATTCTTGTTATGCCACTACGAATGGGAGCTAATGGTCTAAATCTTACGCAAGCTAATCACGTCATATTCATGGAGCCGATCACTGAGACATCTGTATTTGCACAGGTTTGTTCTGAGTTGCGGCAATTCATCGTCGTTTTTTTTTCTTTTTAGAGTTCTTGGAAGCAGCCTTCCTTCGCTTAAAATTAAATTTACGATATTTTCTGCGTGTACTATCTGATTTTAGGCTGTTGGTCGAATTGATCGTATAGGCCAACGTAGGGCAATCACTGTGCACAATTTCGTTGTCAAAGGCTCTATCGAGGTAAGGTTTTGAGCGAATGACAACTGAATTATCAGCAATACTTTAGGAAGAGATCTATGCAATTGTTAACAGTGGTACGGAGCAGAGCAAATGGACGCTAAATACTTTGCGCCAAGTGTTTGGTCTAGAGACTGAGAATCATGTGGAAAACGACGATATCCTATTAGAAGAGCTTTAATTTTTGATCACGGGTCTAATTCTTGAGTTTCTTTACGCACTCATGTTTATCATTCATGCTTTTTTCTTAACACCTTATTCTAACCGTTTCGAATTCTGGTCGTAACTTATGGGCTGTAATACTTCTGGAGTTCCTAATAATAGGCTGACTTGGTAACTTTTCATCTCCTCACCCCGCAATTCTTGATGCACTGCCGGCGTTGCAATTTTTGCATCTTTCAATCGCATTCTGAGCTGGCTTTCTTTGGTATACTTTGATCTCTAAGACAATCTATTCTGGAAAAAATTATATCATTTGAAGCGTCGCGGTCATTGTGCTATTAGTTAGTTTCTAATCCATTTACAGCTTCAGCTACATTACTGAATACAAAGACGCTGGGTTTTGAACTCATTTTGTTTTCCTTTCATTCAGTTTTTCTGCACGACCCCTAGGCAGCAAGTTTCTGCATTCTAAACCCATTTTAAGATAGTTTGGATTTATAACCTACCTATTACGTTTCTAGGCAGCATTCGTAGAGGTCAGACCTTGCAGCTGGCCTAACTGGTGACATTCCCCCTTTAAATGTCATGTCATCTAATAGTAACATCATAGTTATGAATTTTAACTCATTTTTTGAGTTGTAGGGGATTATATGATTGTGCAATTTCATTTCAGTTGCTTGTGACTTGGAAGTGATTGTGAGGTATTTTATAGGGTAGATTTGCATGTTTGTTCTAGCAGAATTTCATTTTACTGTTTTCGGTATTTCTTTCCCCTCAATAGTTCTTCTCATTAGCAACGTTTGTAAGTTTGCAGAAGTCCTCGAAGAAGCCTCGCTTTTTTGTAGCGCTTCCTTGGTGAGTCTTCCGGTGTTGTTGTTGTATGCTAGCAATAGAGCTTTACTTATCATTGCCAAAGTCCGAAACTTTTCAAGTTAGAGTTGTGCTTGTTTGCAGATAATCTGGTCTTTTTAGATAAATAGTTATTGTACTCAACATAATCTAGGATTTTGTGCAAAACATCTTGCGATCATTAGACATCAATGGCGAAATGAGCCTTTCCCTCCCCCCCCCCCCCCCCCGGGTCACAAAACTTTCGAAATTTACTTATAGGCTTTTGCATGACAAAGGCACAATATCTTTGCGCGCGAACACAGCTTTATTAGCCGCAGAGCGCATGAAGAGCCGGATTTGCAACGTTGAAGGTACGCGCGCGTCGCCTTCGCGCCGCTTAGCTAATACTGCTTCTGCGCCTTCGCATACAGTAGCCTTTACATAGGTCATAAAATTGTGCAAGTGACTTGTTTATTCTTGTAAATATTTGAAAGAATTTCTAAAATTCTTTGAAAATTTGAGTTAGTCCTGTATGTGGCGGTAGCCACGCCCTCTTCTTCCAGATTTTGGAGGTTATGGGCTCGCAAAAATTGTGCCCAAAAACTTTTTCGGAGTGCGTGGCTAACGCGACTTACCCATTTGAAAGAAAAAACCTTGACCCCCCCCCCTATTTTTAGAATGTCCAAATTTATCGACTTCTTCTTTGAGAAAAAACGTAAAGTAAAAACATCTATTTCTAAAATTATGATGAACCAAAATGTAGGCAATATGATTGAATAATACTAACAATTCGCCCCATGGCATAAGAACCCGAAGCGATTCTGGGCAAGTTTGAAAGATCGGGTCTATCGAGTGGCACATTTGATCCTGACCGGAAGCCAAGAGCCGTAAAAAAAAAGGATTACAGTCTGCCCCAATCGGGATCAGGCCGAACCGTCGGCTGAATTTGCGCGCTCGCTGCGCTAGGGGATTGCGCTGCATAGGCGCGCTGTCGGCGGAGTGAAGAGATCGAGGAGAGAGCAGACTAACTAGCCGCAGATGTGGCGCGAAACTCTCGCGGCGCGGACTCCCGCCCATGCCGATTTTGGCCTGGTTAGGATTGGGGCAGACTGTACTCAAGAATCGCGGTGGGAACGGGACCGATATAGAAAGACAAAAGAGACAAAGCAGACTGCACTCCTACCGACCAGTCAACTCAGACACTGGGAACGGGCGAGCCGCGGCCTCAAAAGGCCTTTCTAGCCCGTCCGCGGCCTTAATTTGTGGGCGTGGCCGGAGTGCGGACGAGCCGCGGACCTTAATTCATGTCAATATCATTGCACCGGCCGAGCCGCGGACTGAATATGGCTTACCGGCTCAGCCGCGGCCTTAATGATGGGGGTGGAGCATTGCAGCGGCTGAGCCGCGGACCAAAATCTCTATAATGAAACTCCGGCCGAGCCGCGGCCCATGTCGGATAAGGTCCGCGGCTGCCGCTCCCAGTATCTGAGCATAAAGAATGCTTGCGTGTTGTACGACGCATGGTCAGGCTGCCCTCAGTGTCCATAGCCCTCGATGTCTTTCCAGTCTGCAAGGCGAGAACAAGACCAATATGTTGTACAACCTTGGATAGCATCCTGTGTTGTCCAATGTTGAAGTCGGACTTGGTTTCCGAAGCCGCTAATCGGTGGCTTAAATTTTGCTTTTTCACTGTGTATTTTTTACGTGCCAGTGGTTAAAAAAACAGTTTTACTGTACCCGAGCTAGAATGAACTAAACGGCCCGACAACCAGCTCCGGCTGAGCCGCGGTCCAAAAGCGGACGAGCCGAGGCTGTTTTCCGGCCGAGTTGAGGCCCATCTCCGGCCGGGCCGCGGACGCTGCGAAATTCCAGCCGGAAAAGGTCCGCGGCTCGGCCGCTTCCAGTGTTTGAAAAACTGAGTCGCACTCTAGAGATCTTCAAACGAATAATCGAAACGAAACGTGCCTCGGGATATTTCAAAGTTGTCAGCTAATCGGTGGATTGTGGAAGGAATGGGTGCGACTAACGCAATTCACTCCGCTCAATGTGGTCGAGAATTATATAAAAGAAGCAGAAGGAATCGTATGCAGCCTTCCTGGAACTGAAGAAAGCCTTCGATAAGGTGCCCCATGAAGCCTTATCGTGGACCTTACGAAGACATATGGTGCCAGAAGAGTACGTTCAGTGGATGAAATGATCTACCACAACGCCTCAAGTCACGTACAAACAGCGGCAAGGCAATCGAAGGGGTTCCAAATCAGCTTGGAGTAAATCGAGGGTCAATTCTCCCTCCCTTGCTCTTCCTCACTGTGTTAAACGCCATGTCTGAACCATTCAGACATGAACCCCTTGGACACTTCTCTACGCAGATGATGTGGTCTTGATAGCAAATACCAGAAACGAGCTGCAAGACGATGTACAAAACTGGTAAATCAAGCTAGGATTGTCTGGCTTGAAGCTCAACAACAGGAAGACAGAATATATAAAATGAGGACAAACTCCAGATACCGTAAAATCGATAGTGAAGAGCTAAAGAAGGCGACCTCATACAGCACAATTGAATAGTTTTTTTCCGCTCAATATAGTGTGCTTACACTGAAAGTGAAATGCGGAAAATTTGGACGTACTAACTGGCCGGCGTCACGAGCGTAACTATTTGTTCACGCGCAAATTCTACCGCATTTCACCTTCAGTGCAAGCACACTGTATTAAGCGGAAAATCTACTCGACTGTACCATCGGTACCCGATTGCCGCGAGGGCGAACTCGGGGAGCGTATCAGCGATGTGGTTGCCCTGTGTTGAAAAATAGCTGATAAATTGATTATCGGTTGACGACCGCCCTCGCAGCAATCGGGGAGCCTACCTAGGCAGTCAATTTGAGAAGGAGGCTTTCAAAAGAAGATCGCAGGCAGGGTGAGCACAGCGCTTGCCTGTCTCCACCACTATTAATTCATACATGATGTGTCATAGACTCAAATCCTTCCGGGCCTAGATCATAATCTTAGCAGAGTAAAGCCTTCAGGTGTACGTGAAATTCTGCAGCGATTTGATATGTATTTAGCTTAAATGGATTTATCGCAGGCTCAAGTCTTCAAAGCGCTGCCAAAATAAACAATGCCTAGCAGAAATCACATTTTAAAGTCTTGTGACGTTGTGCACTCTGTTATTATCCCACAATCATTTGAAAATCAAATTCACCAAAGGACGTAAACAGATGACCTATGGGCGCATTCGCACGGCATCTTATATATTCTCGCCACTATACTAGTGCCTGCTACAATCAGTGAGAAACGCTGAAAACTTTAGCTGTACTCTTCGGTGTTTGTGCTAATTTTCTCACGCCACGTCTTGTGGATTCATTGTTCGTAAAAAATAGTAATAACATGTTGATGAGAGATACTTTTCAGTTGACTGACTCTTGGTTTTTCGTCTTTAACATTTGCTGATTTTTGGCACCATGCCTTAAAAAAATTACTTTCCACTCAAGCAGTAATTACATACCCCTCAAAAGAACCTAGGTAATGCAATGGACATACTTTGCGCGGTTCTGGTAGCCGCGCATTTGGCAATCAGCCAATCGCCAATAATTCGCTGCAGTCACATTTTGTACCTCATCAAAATTATGGACCTAACATGTGCATATAAATTGTGCATATAAATTTAGTAGTGCTAGCACCTGGTAGGCAAATTGCATGAAATATATCAAAGCCTGATGCTACGCAAGCGACAGCGGTGCGGATCAATGACGCCTTTCGCATTGTCGTGCATCAGTGATCGAATTTCGACTTGTTCTGAAAACTAGTAACTACTTCCAAGTAATGTCAAAGTTGATCTATGTCCTCGTTATGATATCGGATTCAAATAAGCGGACACTGAATTTTTTTTCCAAAATCGAGTTATGTCCACATTCGTTATTTCCAATTCAAATTCAGTAATACGAATTTCCGCTTACTTCGTACAAACGAGTGCTCTGCAGAGGAATCACAAAGAGTAGGCAATCAAAAAATGTACAACTTCTCTTCAACCAAAATCGATGAAGATTCAGTTAAAGTGATTTTCCTCAGCATCTTCCAGAAGATATCGGAATATCCCAAGCAACACAAGTTTGCTTTTAATGTGGCGCAGTCTTCTCCCATTGAAAGCTTTGTCATTTCTGACTTTTTTCCGATCGCAAATCTTTTGGACAGACGCCAGCAATCAATAATTCATTAGGTGCGTCTCGCTTGCAGAAGTACCTTTTGTTCTATATGTGGTGGCGCAAAAGACGTGACTCAAATTTTCAAACTAATAGATTAGGATAATTCTGAGCCCATTATAAGTTTAATCCTTCTCAAAAGTAAAGCTTTTTCAGCAAGAGTTCATGGGGTACCGGAAGCGCTCTGCTGGAGTACTAATGCACTAATTTGGGAATATTCTATCAAAGTCCAAGATTTTGGTCGTTCTGTGTAATAGCTTCTGTGTTGGGAGGATTTTGTTATCATAAAACTAGCTCTCTTTTCTTCTTCTGCTTACAATCAGCGCAGAAATTATTTTTTGGTTAAACATTCTCAAAAGTCGTTTGCCAGGTGATAAAATCGTTTGCAGAAAATTTGCATTAGATTTCGTGTATGTAAAACAGGTGATTGATGTTATGAGATGGGAAAATGACTAAATGTTGTCGTGGTTGTCTTTTCATTCACACGCTATTGACTATTTGAGGGATTGAATAACACGGAAGAGGCGTTTTAACTTTTTGTGAAAACAAAAATGACAAGCATAGGGATAAGCCAGGATAAAATTCAGGATAGCAACATTTGGATTAGCTGGAACTTCTTCTAACATTTCATTTTGGTTCTAACATACTTATACGCTTTGATACTTGTGAAAGCTCATTTCTTGTATCGTCTATTCTATGACTAGGACACGAGACCGCATTGCGGACATTGTCTTAACAAGTTTGAGTTTGTTCTTCCGCGTTTTCGAAGAATGAATAAACCTGTGGCCGTATTCATCAACGAACCCTGAGGGTTAAGCTTACCTCCAGGGTTAGTTTAACCCTCAGGGTTCATTGGCCGTATTCATCAACCATAGGCTAGGGTTTACCACGAAACGCGATCTACCCGTATCGATCAACGAACCTGTGGCCGTATTCATCAACCCTGGGGGTTAAACTAACCCTG